TTATAGATGTATTTAAAATATTAAGTTAGATTTATGTCATAATAAACATTAAATTAAATATTAAAACTGTTTCTAAATTAGTATAATTGAAAGTTGTATAAACATCTTAAGATTATTGACCTAACCTCTGTTAAAAGACCCGAAGGCATCGATTGTCATAATCACAATTGAATGTTTTTTTTAATAACTAAAAATTTTTTGTAACATTCTAATAGGATAAATGGACTCATTTTCAGTTTATAAAATTTACATTTAACATAATTTTAAGTAACGTGACTAATTGTAATATGTTTAACTATATTAACCTCAAATTTATTTTCTAAGAGACTATGATGCAAGGTAAAAGAAACTACCATTAATATTTGTAAGGCAAAAACATCTGGGTAATTCCGGGTCAATTCGACACAGCTGTTGACCTCGTGTTTTTAGAATTTCCTGAAAATTTGTGTATCAATAACTTCTAAGAGAAACTGTCCTTTTTTTTATTTTTTCCCTCTTTGTCGTTCAAGTAAACCGTAAACTGGAAACTCTCGAGATACTTTTATTAACTTGTTTTTGTGGTGATTGTTAATTACGATATCTCTTATTTCTATTTTTATTATTTGGCAGGAAATAATATAATTTAAATAAAAATAAATATTTAAAATTGCGATCTGTACTTTTGAAGATATCAGCTTTTAAATTTGAGAAATTACTGCAAACTTCAATATAAAATGTAACTTTGGGGAAGAAATCTATTGACTCCTCAAAACTTGTAGAAAATTATTATTTAAATTATATAATATTTTATATAAATCACATAAAATATAATATAATATAATGTATTTTTAAAGTAAATTTTATGAAAATTAAAAAAGCATTGACAGGGATGGCAATTAAATGCTTTATTGATACAACATTTAAAGACACTAAAAAGTGAATTTCTTGTATTACTTAAAGCTGTAAGTGCTATTGAATATTTAAAACTATAAACCTTATTAAAATAAATACTCAGTTTATTATAGTTTTTAAATCTTCATTTTAAATGATTATCAAAACAGAGTAAAAAAATTTATATGCATTTTATTATGTCTTAAAGATATAAAGTCAAGGATCTTCTTATATGGCAATGTACGGTTGTACAAATGATGATTCGTGTTTACGTTTCCAAGTTGTAGTTTCGAAACTGGTAAATTCACGGAGAAAAGGAAAAGTGTCAGATGTACAAATTATCAGTTTACATCATTTAAAAAGTTACTTTAACAAAGTAAATACTTTTAGAGGTCAGAAGGATTTATTTACTTACAACTTTTGTTAATTAAATTTCAAAAATGGGGCAATGTTCCATTTAAAATTACAAAAAAGAATGTCATTAAATGAGATTCATAATTGTCGGTGAGCGTATTTGGCAGCAATTAGTTAATGAGCGGACACCTGGCTCAAATGTCGACAAAAACAAGAGACCTTTACAAGATTTTTTGCTAGTAACTTTTTTTAGTGTTTGTCTTTCCAAAGTTTAAGATAAAAATAGAAAACAAATAAAAACAGTCTCTATATTAAACAGAAGATAATGTTACTTCTAATGATAACTTCGATACTAACTTTATATATTAATGAACAAATAAATAATGAAATATAGTCAGAATTCAAAGAAATTGAGACTCAAAGACAATTATTAATCTTTTAAATATCCTCAATATTTAATATATATGAGTTTATATCAGTTATTATAATAATAAGATTAATATACCTGTTATTGAAGCTAAAATTTTTAATTAAATAAGAATTGTAGATAGAATTGTTTTAGAAAAGGATGGACACAAGATAAGTTTCATCATTGACTGGATATATAATACAAAAAAAAAATGAAACATGTTATCAGAATATTGATATTATTAAAAAGTAACTACTACTAATTTACTGGTTATTATACAGTATATAGCATTTACAAATTATATTTAATTATTTTTAGTAATCGAGATAAATTTTTATACACACGCATATTAATTAATAGCTTAAAGACTAAATGAGCAGCTAACAAAAAGAAACAAAGCTTAGAAGATCAAACAGATGCAGCAAACTGCTCCATAGCATTGGAAGGATAAGATTATGGACAGCATTAAAGATTAACAATTAAAGTTAAATTATAATGCATTTAATGAAACTTGCTTAAAGAAACTCGTTTATAATTACGTACAATAAACTTTATAAATTATTCATAAATTGCCAATCACAGAAGAGAAACTCTGAAGGTACGTAGCTACGTATGCAAGTTCACAATCTGGTAAATTAAATGTCTGTCTTAAGGAGGAAAATGTTATCCTTTTATTGTCACAATAAATAGTTATGGTCATACAAGTTATAAAATGCAAGATATAGAAATTAGATTGAAAAATTAGGAGAATTTTTATATAAATATATCAATACTTATGTTTGGTAGAGATCATGTATCTGAAGTTGTCTTCTCTATTTTTATACACAAACAAAACACAATATTTGTTTGTGTTTAAAAATGTGATCACGTATGTAGTTGATATGCGTTGGGATTTTGAATTTGATTTAAAACTTCCTTATTGCTAAATAATAAAGTTTTTTATGATCATTGTGTGCCATACCTTGAAGCAATTAAATAAATTAAGTAAATAAGTATTAATGCTACATACCATTTTTATTTATTATATAAATCTATATACAATTGTTAGAAAATATGCGGAATTTCGATGCGTCATGCTGATTTTAAAACAAATATTTTAAAAGTAAGCACATTTGATACTTGTTTGGAATTTTTAAACAAATATAAACACAATAACGGAATTTTTCTTTGACGAATTAATCGATTAATATTTGTAAACGTTACATTAACCTCTGGAATCTGACTGTAAGGTATTTTGTATAAGGTACTGAATTAAATTTTAATCGTTTAGTAGTAGTTTAAATCAAAAGGTAATGATATTAAATTGGCTATTATTAAAATTGATCTATTTCTACTAATTGTATAAATATAAAATATAGAAGACAAATGTAATTAGATTCATTAGATTATATTCATTTCTTTTATAAATATATAATGTTTACTTTTTACGAAGGCGAAGTTTTCCTTTATCAAATAAATAATTTGATAAAGGAAAACTTTGCCTTTATATATGATTAAATGCGACGTTTCCTTTATAAAAACGTTTAAGGCTTCTAATATATTTCTCGATAATTATAATTCGACTCGACTCAATATTGTTATTCTTAAACAACATCTAGCCCACTTATTGTTGCATTATTTAACTGTTTACTATTTCTCAGTATTTATTTAAGGGCTTATCACAAATTGTGACTCATTTCTATCTCCTTTATTATTCTACTAATTATACATTACTACAAACATCTACATTTTTGGCCATTCTTAAATGCATTTCGGCTGATTCATTACAGTCTCTTCGGTCAGATAATATTGGCCAAATAAAACAACGTTAATTTGCACGACTCACACTGAAACTAACGACAAACACTAATAAATAACGCATTTAATTACCCGACAGAATACCTACAAATATTTAATTTTATACCTATTTTTACAAATACTTCCACTGCATATTATTTTACCGATTTACTCGCGTAAACATAATTACAATACTTCCGCGCTAAGTTGTACCGTTACACTAATATTTAATTACTTTAATTTTTCATATATAGTCTTAAAGTCAATAAAAGTAATTGCTTTATTGGATAGTATAGAATCATAAATACCATGATGACATTTTAAATTATCTATCGAATGACTGAGCGATAAAAGGAGGTGTCATCGTGAAGAATTCTTTGTCGTATTTGATGAAGACCGTTTTTTATCTTCCGTCCATTAGGACTGCTTTCACTGCAAAATCAGGCATCGAATTGAAACGTAAACCGAAATTCGGTGTTAATAATCTATTTTTAAATTTCCCTTCTAACCGAAATTAAAGTAAATAAAAATGATCATCGTCGCTACGTTTCGATATCAAAACGTACGTTGGTGATTTCTCTGTCATTTTTTTTTAATATTTTAAACCAGTAAAAAATTATCGTATTAAAAGTATAAATGAATAGTTACTTTCAGAATAATACTGAAAAGAAAGCAATCTGATTTACAATTTCGTAAATTTTAATTAAAATAAAGAATTTAGTTTTTATCTTTATCTCGTATTTTAAAACTAGCGTGTTCCAATTAAAATCGGCCCGACTCAGATGATAAAACATTAATGGTGTAAATTTTGTAGCGGATTTTTTACGTACAGTTATAGGATGGTCTCATACACTTTCCCTTTTATTTAAAAGGGAAAGTGTATGAGACCATCCCATAACTGTACGTAAATTGAAGGATTCGTAAAGCATTGAAGCTATCGATATCAATATTTTCCATAAGTTTCAGTTTGGATGTGATCAGTGGCGTGCCATCATTGGAAGCGATGGATGCGCCGCTTCCCTTGTATTTTCTAAAAAATAAATACATATTAATTTTAATTATATGAAAATAATCGCACAATATTTTATNATATTATGTTTAGTATTGATTGTTATATTTATATTCATATAACTGTTTTTCGAGTAGAAAATTTTTTATAATTGATATAATCGTATTATTTATTAAAATGTAAAATACGAGATAATTACAGTATATGTCAATTATAATAGAAAATCAATAATATTTTAAAATGGTTTGCTTGTGAAATAAATAAGGAAAAGTTTGTTCCGTGTCCAATAAGATTTTGTTTTTTTTCCCACAATATATTATCTATTATTTATGATGTATTTTCCTATTTCTGAAGAACTTGCCCTTCGACAATTAAGCTTATTTTTTCCTGTTGGTTTAATACAATAACAAGATTTAAATAATTTTGCTGAAGTCTATCATTTAAATTTTAATGCAAAGTTAAAGTTTAAATGATAGGCTTTAACTGATGCAAGAACTGTTATTATTGATAAATAAATACACATGTAAATACTGTTGTTTACTCTTTTGTTTTCTTTTATAAATTTGAAAATTTTTCTTTTAGGAATACGATAACGAGGCAGAATCTCTAGTGTGCAATTTAGAAATAAGTAACGAAGACGAAGACGTGGACATAGGTACGATTTTATGGTTTTGACGTATTCGTTTCTCGACACCTCTTCATAATTGTCCGTTTCAAACAGCTTTAAAATTGGCACAAGTCGACATGTATACGAGAAGAGTGCGCGAACGTTTCAGGAGAAAGAGACTATCGAGAAATCACGGGCTAGTGAGCCTTTTTTTTAACACTTGTAACAAACAAAAGTCGACGACGTCGAAGAAGAAGCCGTCGAAAGACGAAAAGTGAGTGGATTCAAATATGTATTTAAGGGAGTGACAATTACAAAAAGTTTATTATAATTATTTTCTGTTTGTATATTTTATAGAGAATTTCAAGATAAAACTAGAGTCTTCTGCCAGTTTCAGTCTGCATCTGAACAGACACAATTATTTGAAAATTTGCAAAGTATTTTGACTTTTCCTAAATATGCTTCTTTAACATTTGTGATTAATTATTAAATTAATACATTTATTTTAAACTTTTGCAAAAGATATCGACAAGTAAAATTAAAAACTATATTTTTAAATTTTATTTATTTATGTTAGAATAAGTATAATCAATTTGAAAAAAATCAGTTAAATCAAGATGTATAAATAAAAGATATGTTAATAAAATCCAAATAATTTATGAATAATACAGCAATGTTGAGAAGACCAACACAGATATTTGAACAAGATTCCATGCATATTTTTTGATTTGCCAAAAGCATTTGCTAGTTTAATAAATTTATTAAATTTTAAGGTACAGTAGACCCCCATAACACTGTTGATAATTCCGTTTTATATGAATTCCACGTTGTACGAGTCACTTAGATTTTACAAATATGTGCGCCGGGCTGCGAACGGCTCACATATTTGTAAAATCTAAATGACTCGTACAACATGGAATTCATATAAAACGGAATTATCAACAGTGTTATAGAGGAGTCTACTGTATATCCTGAAACGTAGCATATTCAGCCAGTTAATTATCTATTAGAATGAACAAAGAATAGCGAATACTGATTTTTACAGCTTCCACGTCATTTTGTAGCCACAGATTACTTTGAATGGGATGCCATCTAAAAAATTAATTTTTCATTTACATATCAACATTCTCAAATACTGATACAAAATTAATAATTTTAAAAATAAATCATTCTAATTCTTACTACTAAAAAACTCTCTGAGTTGATATTTTTTTTTTATATTTGCTTGTTTTTAGTATCTGATTATTATTAAATTGTTTCAGAGGAAAAAGAAAGTAAAGTGAGAATAAAAGAACTTATGAAGTATAGGAGAAATGGCTTGACGAAATTAGACGGTGAGAAATTCAAGTATTTTAGTTATAATCATAACTTAATAGAATGTAATATTTCAGACAGTTAAAGATGTTCAGATTACAATTAGATTGCATCTTAAAATACATTCCTAAAAGTCTCTAAATAAGATAAAAATTAGTGTTATGAAATAGTTAAGCATTCCTTTTCATTGCATCAAATATACAGATAAATGAGAATATATCAAAATTATAAAATAAGTGAATAATGCCCATTTGTATATTTACACTTTATTTATTATGCAAATAGTTTACATGATAAAACATAATTTATAATAAACCATTTTCTTCTCATTATACAAAATTAAATGATTTGTTCTTTTAATTGCTTTTTATTAAATTGAAATTTATAATTATTTTAATATCAAATTCTTAATAAAAACATCACATCTGGAATATTCATTGCATGAAAACTGTACTGTCATTAAACAAATAAGGAAAAATTTTTTATTTATTAATCTCACTGGCATCTGGAAATTATTACACAACTGGCTAAAACCAATAACAGAATTAATAAAAGGTGGAATTCTTATTCTGGTTAGAATTATATAAGATGATATTAATTTCGAAAATAAATATTTTGTTCAATACAACAATTTGAGACTAAAACTTTGTTAAATATTCAGATTACATTTGTTGTGTTGTGTAAATCAAACTGAATAATTTTTAAAAGAGTTTCTGTAGCTGGCTTTTTTAAGAGATTTGCTTTGTTACAAATTTTAAAATTGTAATAGCAATAGATAGAACTATCTGCCATTATACTTATTCTAGGATCAAGATATTACACCTAAACTCTAGCCCCCAGAACTAGTTAGTTCTATCAATACCACCACTGACAGGAATTGTCCCATTAAAGTCCGAGCTTACTCGTTTTTCAATTTTGCGGGAGCATTTCTTGTTTTGTGGTGTTGTGGCAAATGTGGGTTAATACGGAAGGCCGGTCTGTTGAAAATGCCGTCCACCTTTGAAGTACGGATGCGATGTTATTTTGTAGCAATGCGTTTACGTTTTAGACTTTTATCGTTTGAGCTTCAGACGTATCCCGTTAAAATTTTGGATAGAATAGCTTTTAGTTTTTCTAATTTTATCATTTCTTTCACCGTAATTAATCACATTTGTCATCTTATATATATCTACAGATTAATATTCTACATAGAGCAATATGTGTTCATTCAATCCAAAATATTATTTTAACTCTTTGGTCTTAGCAACATTAACAAAATGAATTGTTCAAGAGTTTAGAACAAGAATTTACAATTCAAATCTAATAAATTGGCTTTTAAAGTGTATATTTTTGAAAAACACTTAAACATAGAACGTAGTAATAATTTCTTATTTTTATTCTAAAATTTTTGGCATTTATACAGAAATTAATTATGGATTTTGTTTCTTGACAAAATACAATTTATTATTTTTATGATGATAGATTTATGTAGTAAATCCCAGCAGTATCTTTTAACAAAAAGGAAAGTTATCTACAATATATCAATACTATTTTCCATTATTTTTGCTTAAATCTATTATTTAATCCAAGTTATTCTGTAGTGTAGTATTTATTCTATTTTATTTAACTGTATTATGTTTTGTTTTATTGCTTATCTAATTTATACTTACTTAATATATATGGAGAAAAAATAATTTTGGTGATTTTTTTTTCTCCATTCTCTGATTAACAATTACCATACTGTATTAAATTTCCTGATCTGTTTTATATATGTAGCATATTTACAACTCAATTGCTAAAGCCCCTCTTCAATGTCATGTTTAAGCAATTCTAAATTATTTTCAGAGAACAGTAGATTTAAAGAGTATTTGGTATTTTCCCCATTCATTATTATATAATATATATCTTTGACAGGTGCAAATTTTAAATCTTAAATGATAATCCTTTCTGTTATAATATAATAGTAAGTTTTTACATTTATGAAGTTACTTACTAGTAATCATATAGTCATATGGTAACCATAATTTTGTCAAAATTATGGTTATGGTTCCATTTTTATAATTATACAGTCGACCCCCTATAACTTAGATTTTACAAATACGTGTGCCAAGCTGTGAATGGCTCACGTATTTGTAAAATCTATGTGACTCGTACAACGTGGAATTCATATAAAACGGAAAAATCAACAGTGTTATAGGGGGGTCGACTGTAAATGTGGGGCGAAGCATTTTTTCAAATAGTTTCTGGCTTGTATGTCTGTCAAATGTGTTAAAAAGACAGAATATGACAACTTAAAATATTGCAGAAGGTTACAAAATACAGGAATAGTATCAGAAGAATATCTGCTAACATATTCACTCTCTGGAATTTATTTTTAGTTTTGACACAACCGACTTTATTATAAAATAAATATAAAATCAGTGTATTTATTTGTTAACGTACAATTAAATAATAATTTAATTCGTAACACTATGTATTCAAAGTGTTGTTTTTTCTGTTTGGAGTCCGAATTTAATAGTCTGTTAGAGATAGGAAAGACGTTTTTAATCTTGGAGTTTATTTAAATTTTCTTACCGTTTCTCCGAAATTGTTATTTTTATAATAAATTATAGATATGATATAAACAAGAACTTTAATCGTGCCTAAGTTTTCTTTTGTATAATAAAAATAACGAAAAACTACATTTTAAATTAGTAACATCCAGATTTTTACAAATGTAAATATAAAGACGTAACTCTGTTGACTTTACAAGTAACATCACTCTCAGTCGAATTTCCCATTCTCCGCATCACCAAAACGTTATTCTGTATCTTGCAGCTTTTTAACAAAAGCGTAGGTTATTTAATTTTATTAAAATGTCTGGAGCAAAATGACGTAAACAAAATTAAAGCTTCGTACAGGGCCTTCCCCCACACACACTAACATCCATACAGTCGACCCCCCTATAACACTGTTTTATATGAATTCCATGTTGTACGAGTCACTTAGATTTTACAAATACGTATGCCAAGCTGTGAACGGCTCACGTATTTGTAAGATCTAAGTGATTCGTACAACATGGAATTCATATAACACGGAAAAATCAACAATGTTATAGGGGGTCGACTGTACATTATTTATTTATATAATTACGATAAAATAGTATTTGATTGATACGAGCGAATTTAATGTAACCGGAGACGAACTTTTTTTCCGTGTAGAATGCGCAGAATTCGAAACGGCCAGGTATAAAAGAGAAAAGAAGAAAGAAAACAAAAAGAAATCCGTAAGAATTCATTTGAAATATTTTTCTAAGATATATTCTGGTAGAACATACCAAATGGTTTTTTTTTTATTGACGTTTTTAGAGTAACTGCGCCTCGATTCACAGAAGGTCGAACGTGTCGAAAAAACAAGAGTAAGTACAAGTAGATAAATTATAAACGAGAGCATTTGACGGCGGACGGACCCTGGCTAATTTTCTATTTGGAAAATTTCAGAGACAAGAGCGGAAACGACATCTCTTCCGAAGAGCAAGGTGGGAGATTGACGGGTTTGAGCCTTTTCTTCCGGTTACGTCACGCGCGATTAGCCCATTTAACGGACATTTTCAATTATTAGGAGAAAACGAGACCAAAGAAGAATCCAAGGAAGTGGACGCGTCCACCCAACCCGGATACAACCTTCTTTCGGAGCGCGAAAAAAAGGTGCGCAATCCAATTACATAAAGTCTTTTTTTGTTTTTTAGGGGATAATCCGGCCCACAATCGGATTTTCTCGTTTTAATTCACGGCGCCCAAATCGTAATATGTCCTTACCGCCGAGGTAAGAAATTACCGGCAAATTACCGCATTTGACGGTAATTTCTTACCTCGGCGGTAAGGACAGATTACGATTTGGGCGCCGACCAATTATATTAATCGGAAATATTTCCAACTTTATAGTTTGAACCCCGGGTTTTTAAAGCATTTATTTCTTTGTCTTTTTAGCTGTGCTCGTCCCTAGGACTGAAGCCGTTGTATTATATTTCCTTTAAAACCATTTTATTAAAAGTAAGTTGGTTTTTATCCGTTTTATATCGTTTTATCGAATGTAATAAAATATTTCGTAATCCGGTTGTTTTTGTTTTTTTTTTTCGTCGCGTTCCGTTTTTCGGCGGAAGTTAAAAAAATAAAAATAAAATGACGGAAAGTCTTCCTCCGTCTACGTCTGGGGAATACGTTGGTTGCCGGAGCGTAAGGAAAGGAGGGAAGAAAAATCCCGGTGGGCGTAGACGGGGGAAGGCGCGGACTCTTAGACTTTGGAAGAGAAGGACGGTATGGACGGCACTCGAACCCGCGGGAAACTCTTCCGGTGCGACGTTTCCGGGAAGGGAAGACTTAAACTCGGCGGTTCTTTTGCAGGATTACCTGGACAGGAGGCAGGGAGGGACGGTCAAGACCAGATATCCGGCCGAACTGGACAAGACCCACCGACGGAAGATCATCAATTTCATGGTGAACTGCGGCTGGATCACCGCCTGTTGACCCCGGTCTCTTTCTAGATCGTCGCCTTTGCCGGCCGCCGGGAGGGCGGGTCCCGTCCCGGCCGCCCCTATTTAAACCCGCCGGATTTTCCGGTGGAAGAAAAAAAAATGCGTGGGTTAGCGGTCCGCGCGCGGAGGGGGTGACGAATGGAGAAATTGTGTGGATCGGCAAGCGGACGCTTCCGGCCCGCCTCGGGAGCTCGTGGTCCTCCCGAACGTTTCTTCCCCCTACCGCGGGATTTGTTTTTTTCCTGTACACTCCATCCCCGTTCGTCCCTCCGCGCCCGGGGTATCGGAAGGCGGGAGGCCCGACCTTTCCGCAATTTTTCCTTTTTTTTTCTAATCGTCGACCGAAGAATTTTTACCGACGAAATAAATAAATTTTATAATCTCCGATAACTTTTATTTATGTACGGAGGCCCGCCGCGGCCGTCGACCCGGACCGATTAATCGGCGTGTATAATTGTACATAAGAGACGTGTACAGTTTTATATGGAAGTCAATAAAAGAAAGAAAGAAAAAGCTCGTGCGATGTATTCGTTTCTTTCGGGGGGTGGCCCGGAACGAGGGAAATAAAACTTCGACGTACGGTAAAAGCAAATAGCGCGCGGGAGAAAGTCTTTTATTCAACGGTTTTTGCCAAAAACACAGAAATTTTCCCCCGAAAGAGAAGTCCTTTAAACACTCTTCCCCCATTAAAAGTTGTATTTGGGGGGTTCTTCTCCCCGTAAGTAATCCGGAAAGGGTTGGACTCCTGGAAAGGGTTGGTTCCTCCTGGTTAAGCGAAGGAAGGAGAGAAGTTTAGCCTGTTAACCGGGAGATTTATCGTCTTCCTTCGTTATTTGCCGGGTATAAACTACCCGACGGAGTTTTTTTTCCAGTCTTGTTCCGCGTATTTAATTTAATCTTTTCCCGGCGGGAGTCGGGACGGGAATTCCGCCGGTAGTCCGCGCCCCGCCGCTTTATTTTGGCGCGTACGGCCTGGCTGTCGGTTTACCGGAGGACGACCCCGATGACACACTTACGTATTTGCTTCTCTCTACGTAATTGCGTTTAGCCGCAGTTCTCCTCTCCTCTCTCGAACTACACGGTTTGATAAACAATTTGGCGGTAATTGCCACTAATTCGCCGTCCGGGAAGTGGTTCCCTCCGACTCCTTTATTTTCGTCGACTTCTAGAACTAGTTCGCTTATCTTTATTTTAATTTTATGTAGTGCAGAGGTTGGCGGCGTTGAAAACCTTCCAAGCCCGGTTTTTCTATTTCGGTCGGCTTTTTTTTTATTATTTCCGTTAAAAAAGCCGGGATTAAACCAAAAAAGCGGCCAGAAACTAACCGAAAACTTTGCCAAAAACCCTTAAGAACGATCTATGTCTGGCATCTGCACGTGTTAAAGCTCGGATGTCGATTTTTTTCCTCCTCTTTCCCTCCCTTTCTTGCTAGTTGCGCACTCCTGCCCTACATTCGAATGAATGTTACTCCTTGCCGATTTTTTGTTTACTTTTTGAATGCCGGAGCAGAAAAAATACATACATTTAGATAACTATTTTTAAATTAAAGTATCCATTAAGCTCCGCCGCCTTTTTTTTAAAAGCAGAATTATATAAACCTCGTCCTTTCGGCTCCGTGCGGAGAATTCGTAGTTCTCCCTCGCATTTTGGGTAGGAATTTCTTTTTTTTTTCATCCCGGATTCCGTCAAATTTTAAACGATTCTCGTGTAAAATTCGCATTTGCGGCCAGTTACGGCCGGTCTGGGCGTTTTCGTCCCCAAAATTTCGTATTTCCGAGGGTTTTTTTCTGGGGGAAGGGCGCGAAAGGGATCGATTCTCGCCGAGGTCTTGTCGGTCGAGGCGCAACTCTTCATTTCTGTTGCGGAATTACGATGGAAAGAAATTAAGCCGCGGTCCGACCGCCACCTGTGTCAATAACCACGTCGAAAGTTATATAAACAGAAAATGCGGACGGAGGACCCCCGAGATTTGGGTGTTTGCCAGAGATTTCCGATCCCGCGGTCGATAGCGGAGGTGGGAGCCCCGTTTCGGAGCGCAGTTTCTGGTAGATAAAGGGTCGAATAGTTGGAGGTCGAGCGGACGAAGTTAGGACGGACGACTGGTACACGAGGGAAGCACGTGGTAGACTGTCCTTGCTCGTCTGTAGACCTCTCTCGTATGTCTGAATCGGAGCTTATTTTAGAAACCAGTTTCCAAATACGCTAAATTAATTTCGCATAATTCGTCCGCCGCGCTTTAAGAGTCAATTATACGCCATAGTCGATGTATGAATCATTGAGCTGGAGTTCCCACGTGTCCCCGGACCACCTTGGTGGAGGGGGGCGGAATAAAGAACGGTTAATCTGGCGATGAATTTTGCAGAGACCACTTCACTCTCTCCCTTCTGGTGAGATAACATTCCCCTCCCGACCCCGACACTGGCCGGTTCGGTCTCGTACCCGTTGGCCTCTTCCCTATTGAAGACGAATGATAGAGTGGCATATCGCGCCAGAAGATGGCCCCCGCACAATACAATATCCCCTTTACTCCAACTCTTTACGAGCCACTTTCTTTTTTTTTTTTTCTTCGGCCCTCTTCCCGGGGGGGGGTCATTTTTGTCATTTATTATCCCTCCCCGTCTCCGGGTTACGGGAACGAGGTGATGTCTTACCAGTCACCGCTCGTTAACTCGATGGTGGGGGTGTTTTACGCTTTCGGAAACGATAAAACGACCTCGAACTCGAAACTCGAGCCGTCCTCCGACACCGAATTAATTATAAATTCCGGATAAGACGTTGCCGATCGTTTCCGAGTTACACGTGGCTAACTTTCGTAACAATGCAGACGTCCCGGTACGATTTCCGTCGCATAAAAACTCCATTGTTCGAGAGGGGTGTGTTCACGCCAGATTACGGTCGGAAATAAACTGCATCTACATTTTTCCCCTTTCTATTCGCTTAGAATTTGACGAGTAACGCGTATAAAGTGTGACCCGACATAAATTATCCACCCCCGAGACGACCGTAAAATGTAAAAAACCCAATGGACGAAAGTTGGCCTCTCGAAAAAATCTTCGATCTCGAACTGGTTAGGGGGTTAAATTACGTAATTGTAGGCATCCTCCTTAAGGAGGAGGGATAATTTTCTCGGCTGCGCTTTATCTCCGAGGCTTTGCAAGTCGCGACAGGTTGGCTTTTTTTTTTTTTTTTTGTTCGGGCGTGGTACGTAAGTATCAATGCGCACAATACCGTCGCCATGATTTATTGAAACTGTTTAATTCCGGTGCGTGTAAGATGGGTGAAACATACTTTAGATAGCATCCGATAACGCGACGTATATAATACACCCGAGATAAGATCGGTATCGAGGAAATACCGAGATCATTAACACTTAGTGTCAAAATTTCTTTGCAAAAATTACAAAGTCTAAAGGGTATTTAAGAGGCGCGCAAACTCACGAAACAATTACGTTCCCTCCCCCCTTCTTTTCTAAAAAAATAAGTTACGCCGTTTTCTATTCGACAAAGGTCGAATCACAACAGAACAATTTAGAATTTCGTCCGAGCAATTTTCTTCTATCCGGTAACAGGTACTACGATACCAGTTACGCGGGGTGAACTCTAGAAATTTATTCGTGCCTCCGCTGCTTTAATCTCCCGATCTGAATATATTTTCGGGGCATTATTCTCGAAGAAGACATAAACACAATAAAAACAAACCTTTTATCAGACACGACAGGCGACCCCTTTTTTATTTCGTTTTTTTTCCCTCCGGATGGTGGTGGCCGGAAGAATTCCTCACTCCCCGCTCCAATTTTAATTCTTTCGACTGGAAATTTACCGAGTCGACCAGTGTGTCCTAACAAAATGCCGTCGGGAGTGTCGAAGTTTTCAATAAAAACAGATAAATTTGTTCCTCGGACAAAGTAAAAACAAAGCGAACTGGTTCTGTTTGTTTAAAAAAAAAAAAAAAAGTCCTTAAACTGGCTTTCGAGAGGCCCTCTCGACGCCGTGTCATTCCATTAAGAGCCAAACATCGTTGCGTTTAAGCATTTTAATTGTCGTCAATTAACCTCCGTTATCTCCAAATCGCACCCAAAATTGTCAGGGCTTCAAATTTTGCCCTGAAATTCTAATATTCTCCGAGGAATCGACCAAGTAATTCCAATCTCGGGCTAATTCCACCCTCCCGTTCCATCCGGTGTTCGAATTGAGATGAAAACTAGTTAAGTATGGCCGTAAAACACTGGAAAATAAATAGAGAAGAAGTTTATTTACGGGGGACGACGGAAGGAATTCGAGACCATTTTCGGCATTTCGAGTATACTACGGAAAACGCGCGTCACAAATTCCTTCGGGGGTGTTTTTTTTTGCGCGCGCCGAGCGGACAGTTATCGAAGGATAAATAGAAACGAGGACAAATCTATCCGAAGATTATTTATTGACAAAGAAGCGGTTGTCGCTCGACGAGACGAAGGTTATCCAAGCAACTTTATCTCTTCTCTATGATAAATAATTTATTGTTTAGAACGCTGCGGGTGTTTTATTTGTTCCCGTTTTCGGACATTCCAGAACACAAAAGAGAAAACGACGCGTTTCCTTTCCTTCCGAGATACGCCGCTAACCAAATTATCCACTCGAACGTCTTCTGTTTATACACGGCGTTAATCCCGGTTCCGCCACGGGGATTTTCTACCGCTCGGGGGAAAAACACGGGATTTTTTCGTCAGAAGGCTCGGCCCGACGGTCGAGAGGCACCCGAGACCGCGTGGCTAACACCCGTTTCATTTATTGGATTAAGGTTTTAATCCGATAAACGGGTTGGGAGGTGACGGGGGGGAGTTCCCCGCCGTCGGCCACTTTAATTAGGGGGCGATGGGCCCGGCGCGTCGCGGAGGTTTGCGTCGACGCGTGTCCGAGCGTTTTCCCTAAAAAAGAAGAAACTGGTTTGAAAAGTGGCGTCCGCGCTGCCGGGCGGCCGGTTTGCCCGGTGGTGGGGAAGAAAGTTCTCCATTCTCCTTCGGCACCGAGGCGAGTTGTGATTGGCTGACTGTTCTCCACCCTTAGGCGAGTAGTAAAACGAAAATGAACGTCGAGTTTGTGGTGGCGTGATCGCCCGGACGTTCAGTCGCAGGAACACGTGGTAGAAGCCGGTGCGTGGCGCGGAAAGTGTCCTTACCAGTCGCAATTTTTCGGCCGCATGTCATTCGCCAGCGCATAGAAGATCACGTCGATGGATCGCGTACCGAGGTTAGTAGTCGGCGGTTCGACCCGCCATTCCCCAGGGAGGGAGAGGCGAGCGCCCGCGGACGTGTCAGGTGCGGAGAAACGACCCCGGACGGGCACTTTTCGGCTTTTCTAACTCGTTCCTCGGCCCGGCACTTTTTTCCGCTTCCATTTCTCGGAAACGGGGCAACCCGGAATCCCCGTCCGGGGGTGGAAATTTCCGGCGGTGGAAGGGGAACGGAGAATAACTTAAAAGGGGCAGTACCGATTATCCGGCCGGGAAGAGGCCAAAGTTTCCGCCCGGATCCCCGTTAACCGGGGAATTCGCCGACTCCGCGCGGGATTCGGGTGACATTCCGCCCGATACGAGCGATTATCTTTAGACCTAACGTAATCAATTAAGGCAACCGACGGAGGAAAAAGTGTTAGACAATTCTCGAGGGTGGCGACGGCCAAGTGGCATCTTTCCAACGCTATTTATGTCGGCGTCTCGTGTCGTAGTGACATTCCGCGTACAAAGTGACTGAGGTCATACTTTTTTCTCGGCTTTTTCAGTCGATGACATCATTTTATTCAGGTGGGAAGCCGATTCTTATCGTGCCACATTACTGGGTCAATAGTTGGAACCGGGTCGGAGGCGTAGCGTTTCCGCGCCGAAGGCTGGTCCGGCCACCGACCGTTCCTTCCGCGCTTCTAATTCTCCCCCACCCCGCGGAAGGGTCGACGTTGGGAATTTGGGAAGGGCTACTCGGCGAAGAAAGTGTCACCGCCGACCTTAGCCCCGACCGGCGAGGTATTCGTTCCTCCGCGCTAAAAATAGAATCCCGTTCATAAAGGTAGGGCGTACGTCACGCGCGTCGACCCGGGCAGGTAGCCCGGGGAGGGATGCTGCCGACGTTTCTCCCCCAATGCTCGGGTTCGGATACCGCCGGGGGGCGGGTCCCCGTTTTCTCTCCGGTCCCGATCAAAGCCCGCCGCTTTACCTCGTCCGGAGAAACGTTCACGCTCCGAAGAAACCCGTCTTTTCGAGTAATTCGCGCTAAAGCGCGGGTGGTCCGCGCGCAAAAAAAAAATACCCTCGGTCGCGACTGGCCGAGCGCGCCGGAGGTCGTTCGGGGTCGAACCAAAGCAAATAATGGAAAGTTTGCCACTTCGTCCACGGACCCCAGGGCGTAGCTTCCCCCGTCCTGGCCTCCGCCGGTTCGACCGCCGAACGCGGAGCGGCGCGTAGACGCTCCGGATTCTCTTCTCGCCCAAGACCGAAGGCGAAGTTCCGCGAACTTTCGAAAGTGGCGCGTCGCGCAATACCATAACTGGTTCGGAAACGAGAACGAAACGTTGCTGTTTCCTAGCGATTTTTCTTTCCCCTTTCGAATCTCCGTGCCGTCGAGAGAAACTCGGGCGCCATCCGCTCGCCCTTACGCGGAGCGGATATTTTTGCCGGAGAAACGGTCCGGACCCAGACGGAGGCTCGAATTTCGCTTTTGTATTTATTCGACCGGAAAACGCCGTGCCGTCGACCCTTCTCCGTTTATAAATCTGACCGACTGGCAACACCGATTAAAAACCGACGTCGCCTCCGGAAGACCGGAAGAGATCCGGAATCGAAATTCGGAGGTGGTGGCATTCCCAACCGGAAGTTATCAATCATTGGGATTCGGAATCTAAAATCGATTCGTTTGTTAACGTAACCAAAGACAAAACAACACTGGAAACTGTTATTAAGTTGTCTATCGATTATCCTTTGAATTTTAAACGAATTTTATTATCGACTGTTTTTCATCGATCGGTCGTCGCGAAGTTCCTTCGGACGACTTAAAATCTGATTTGTATTGGAAATTTTGCCAAAAGCTGTCTTAATTCGAATAAAAGTCACAGTTGCGAAGTAGCCATTTACGCGTCGGTCCCGGGAATCTCTCTGTTTCTGCAGAAATGGCGACGGAAGGCGTCCGCTTCGGTGCGATAGTTGCTTTAATCGTTTCTAATCGATCACCGCTTCTCGAGGAGAGAAAGAGCAGATCTCTAGTTTCGATTATCCTCCAACGATAACGCGTACTTATCGACGAATTTTATTAGCCGTCCCCCTCCAACGGAATCCGGAACTGTATCGTCCGACGGCCATCTTGATTTAAGCGCGTCGGGAGCGTCGTGGTACGTTTTACGCCGCCGTTTGTCGTTTAACATTCCGCGCGCCGTTTAAAAGACCGGAGCGATTGTAATCTGGAGTAAAGGTGAAGGAGGAACGTGATGCTCGCGTTCGCACTTTGCACCGCCTCTAAACAAACGAGACTGTACAGGTTGGGGGATAGACTTACGGAACGTCTGGAAAATCGTGTTTTCCGCAACGAATTAAAGTTCGACCCTCTCCATCACTTTAATAACGGACCAGGTCCGGAGGCTGAGAAAAGGTTGTCGGAGTACGGGACGTTTCCGGTTCCGAGCCGGCGCCTACTCCAACCTAATAACTGCGTGCCTACGGGTTAAGGGTATAAATCGTGTGTCCTTCCCGGGTATTTCCTGTTGTAAATTACTTCGCTTCTCGGTTGTTTCTGTCAATGAAATCTCGGCCGGGACTACAGACCCGCGCCGCGAATAGTTCCCTTTTGTGTAAACAATAGTTTGAACCTTCCCGGCGGGTCCAAAGTCTCTCTCTCTGGCTACGCCGGCCGAAATTCTTTAGCCCGCCTTATCTCTCGCCCTTTTCGGCGTGACGTAATCATCCACCGACGCGTAACTCGTTGCCGAAAGCGCGCGTGCCGATTTCTATCGTTAGAAAACGCCAAAGGAGCGTCCGATCCTCCCCTTTCCGGGGTGCCTCCGAACGTGGCAGGTGACGTTTAACCCCTGACACCTTCGAAGGAGCGGAGCGTCGGTCCGCGCGCCGCGCCGAGAAGTGGGTGCGTCCGTTTACCCGGCCGACGTCCAGAGCGCCCTCTCGTTAAGAAAAATGAGTCCGGTCGCATCCCTCGAACGCGTCGAATTAATGTGGAAGGTCAAATATTAATTATTGTTTACTTCGTTCTCCCGCCCGAACCGGGATCGAATTAACGCCTCGGTCTCCGTCCTCCTCCGTCGGGTACTTTTCCCCAACTGGGTCGCGTGACCTACAGTCACGCGATCTCCGGGCGCGTCACGTGACCCAGATTTTTCTCTTCCATATTTAAACTGGCCGGTTAATAGCTTTCCGCCAAACGCTGGTTTTTAAAGCTCCGGTTTTCTTTTCGTTTCCGTTTTTGTTTATTTTAGCCACCGTCGGGCGATTTTTGGAACGACGATGTCGATAGGCAGCGGCAGCAGCAGCACGTGGGCTTTTAAAGATGGCAGGGCGGAGGCGCGCGATCCAAAGATAGTCACCGCTACAAATAGCCCCGGGTCGGAATGGGTTGGTTTTCGTCGCGTGGCGAAAGGTTAAAAACACCGGAATCGGCGGTCCCAGCGAATAAAAGAACCCGGATCTAGTTTCCCGGTTCGATAAACTGAAAAAAAAATTCAAAAAATTCGCGGCAAATCTCGCGAGATTCCCTTTCATTTTCTAAGTACTGTAACACGAGAATGTGAAGGATTTAATTAAAAACCCACTCTCGTAAACAATACCTTAAACGCCGAAACAATGGAGATCGGTTTCGTTAGAGGTTAGAGCGGTTAACCGGATCCAATACGTTAATGGCCGAATTTAACTCCCGTTCCTTCGCCTGCGATCGAGTAAAATATCGTTTGTCGATGATTGACGCAAAATACCGGCACGTTCGGCAATAACTCGAAATACGAGAAAGGAGATTTTTACTTCGCGTTTCGCTACTTTTGTCGACCGTGATAGAATTAATAGTTGTTACGGTGCCAAACGAGTAATGCCTGCGTTATTTATCGACCCCCTAAACGTGTTGCTCACTCCTCCCTCTGCCGGTCGTTCGACGTCGATAACTATCGAAACATTGCGAATTTCACTTCCGTTACATGGAAAACGTCACGAACGGGAATTTCTCCTAGAAAGGGATGGAAAAAGCTCCGAAAAAGAATCGGTCCGACGTCACGAAAGGAAAAAATTAGGCGTTAAGGAAAAACGTGGTGTCGAGCGGCGACGTCCGTGTATTTAAGAGTTAGTGCCCTCGTTATAAGGAGGGAGAACATTTTATGGCCTCGGAAACACGGGAAAGGATAGAGCCGAAGCCCGAACAGGGGCGCTGATTGGCTATAAATGCGTTTTTATATCGAAAGCGGGGGCATTCACTTCGGTGACAAGTATTTAACTTTTGGCTAATTTATAAATAAATCGACTTCGTGGAGGAATGTCGACCGCGTCCTTCCATTTGTCAGAGATGTCACCCCATCCATCTCCGCGGTTAGCACCCCCGAGTCGGAGGTTAGCGCCACCGCAGCTCCCGCTTTTTTCTCTCCGATACCATCTGCCTCCGTGATTTACGCCGCTAGGTGTCGCTCCGTCTGGGCGGTGTCGCCCCGTCCGCAGCGACGTGACCGGGGTCGAGAGTATTTTTTTCGGGGCGACCTCGAACGGACACTTTTCTCGCTTTCCAGATGTGGACGGCGGACGACAAGCCAGATCCTAAAAGCCACCGGGATGCCCCCTGCCGGATTTATAGAATACGGGTGGCTCGTGTAGTTCGCGGGTTTAGGTAAAAATCGAGTTTCCGGTATTAATTATGTCGGGCCGGTTAAAGCGATTAACGAGACGGAGGAGGGGGAGGTAATTGGGTTTTCCTTTTTTTGACGTTAATAAGGCGCCACAGAGATGATTTTCGCCAACATTCCTCCTACACGCCGTGTACCGAAAGTCGACCTTGTAACACCCACAACGCTCAGCAGTAGCTCGACGTACGCCGGTTCAAAAAACTATTTCTTTCTTTTGAGGTCGTAAATTTTCCAATTACTCCTTACGGTTTTCGGTTTGAAGAAAGTGCTGTTTTCTTCAGAAATGGCGCCGTATCATCCCTACTTTTTCCAGACGTGTAAGAAGTAAAATGCCCGTCCGTAACAGGGATTATCGTTACGGAGGTGGTACTGTTCGGAAATCCGGACGCGGCATTTCTATCCAGTCGAGTGTATATATTTTATTTTTGTTTTTCCGTCTTTGATCGGCGCGACGACAAACGGACCGATGACCAGATGTGAAGACGAAATCGGCACAAGGAGCAGACTGCTTAATTTTCGTCATCCTCGCTTCAATGACGAAACTTAATTTCCCGAAGTGGCAGACTTCAATTAGATTGTGTGTACGGAGAGCCCTTGACCCTCTTCGCTTCCGGACCAATTCTCGTTGTCTGCACTTCCTCGCTTTCATTTAGACGATTGCCAGACGACGACGCTTCTGGGCGCCTTCGCAACGCTACGAAGAGTTACGCGAGTTCCACGTTCGAGGCGCGTAACTCGGCAGCTACGAGGTTTCGATAATTACATTTTCAAAGTTCTTCGTTTTGTAAACCGCGATAAATTTTCCCCCCGACTTTTCTTAACGTTACGCCATCTACTGTTACGCTATTTCCGTAACGAGTTAATTTAGAGCATTTTTTGAGATATTCGTATTGAACGAGAAGGTACAATACGTGCCAGCGGTTTCACCTGTTGTCGTAGGTGGATCTCTCTAAACGAAAACCCCCGAAACCTGTTATTATCCGTCGACCGTGATCTTCGGTCACGTTACTGCGTGATCCACACCGTTTTACGGGTCTCGACCGGCGACTGTCACTGACCGACGTCTTATCGCGGCCGTCAATTTGTCCACCGGAAACTTCGCTTAAATTCGGATTGGTCCTAAAGCACCGACGAAAGCCCAATTTTGGATTTAAATTCCGCCAGCAATCTCCAGTTTTGTCTTTCCGCTGGAAAGAGCGATTACCACAAACGTCCGTATTCCATCCGCGGTCCTACGCGTTTAACGTTCTTTTCTGTAAGTGTTCCTTCCGCTCGATGGTTTTTGCAAATTGCCACTTCTTCGGTTCCTCCACTTCGCGCCAAAGAGGGAAGTACGAGCTTTCCCTTTTGTCCAATTTAAAGTTGCCAGAGCCCAAACCTCCGATACCGAAGTCGTTCATCGATTTCCCATCGTCTCCTTTATGGGTTACCATAGCGACGCATCTTAGAAGAAAATCGTCCCGTAACCGTCCGTGTACGTTTCCAGTCCGAAGGAATTCAATTTTTGTTTCGTCTATCGAGAGAAGAAAGGCCTTTTTCGTTCCGTAAACAGAGAATTTCCGGTGAACGTGACGTGGATCTTTGCTTTTTACTCGCCAATGGCGCCATATTTTAAACCCAAAAAAAAAGATAAGGGTCGGATGGAAGGTGACTCTCGCCCCTTCTTCTCCCTCACGATTAGGCCCGGAGCCGTTTTACGCTCTTATCTCTCTCAAAATGCATGGTTCTTATCTGGTCTGGCAACACTGCCGAACCCAGAACTATAGTGACGAGTCGTCACCCCACTAAAATTTGTTCACACGGTAATAACCCGGAAGAGAAGCTGTGCCGCCTTCTTAATTACTTCTTGATTGCGTATCAAAATTGTTAATTATTACGACATCTGTTGTGATTTTGCAACGATTCTTTCCTAATGTCGGCGGGTACAGAAGGAAGAGACGCTTTTCCCACGTTTATGGGCGATTAGCAATAAATCGTCTCGGCGGAAGCCGCTTGGCAGAAAGTTCATTTTGACCTCGACCAAGAAAACCCATGGGATATTTCGTTTCTGAGAAAACGGAAAGGCCATTTCCTCGTTCCGTCCAAAAACGCTTTGTTATTTTGGTAACCGGTTCCGACGCGTCTTTCGTTTCGGCTGGAATTTCGTCGTGCTTAATGAAAAAATATAAAGACGCAACTGTCCCGTCCAGTTGGAAAGCGAGAATACGTGACCCTTCACGTTTCCAAGTGGACTCAGACGGGTGGAGTCGTCTACAAACTCGATTCTCTCGATACGTGACGAAGTCGTCCGGTGGAACCTGACGACACTCTTCTGTCTTCTTTGTTTTTCTTCTGACACTTCTAATTTCGCCGCTTTTTACTTCGAAAGAACAATTATTCGGATAATGGTCGAACACGCCCTCCTTCGCGGCTGGTTCTCAACTTTTAAATTATTAACCTGTTTACTTATGAGAATTTCGAAGATTCCAGAATTCATCGATTCGGAGGCGTAAGAGATTCTGCCGAATATGTCTGGTTAAGGGTTAGATGATATCTGTTCGACCCCCCGAGGCCGTGTCGCGGTCACGCAGATGTGCCCTACTTTACATCTTTACTGCATCCGCGTGGGTGCCACTTGGCAAAGGACGGACAACTTGCCCCAATTACCGCCATCGGTCCGTTTTCGGGTAATTCTCTCACGTGGGAACTTTTCGAGAGGGATTTCTCCTGCGTGTGCCGTTTTCTTTATCTTCGAACCGCGCAAATCGAATCGCTTTGTCTTATTCGAAAGAACAAAACGTATTTGTGACCAATTGTGAGTCATACTCTCGCGCGAATTCGTCTGTAGCGAGATGTTCTGGCTGTGTTTTTTTTTGGCAACAGAGGTTATTTGGGGGCAAAACCAATCTTCCTCTTTTGGAAATCGAAGGGTTGTACTTCTCCAGGCGAGGTTTCGGGGGATTTTTCAGCCGGACGGACGAGATTCGTCGGAGTTTATCGCTTGACCTCTTGCGTTTGTTTCTAACAGAAATATATTCCCGAGCTTTGTTTGAGTCCGACGTCCCTTCGGGCGCGTTTGTCCATTGTTTCGTCTTCTCTGCCACCCGCCAACTTTCCTCCGGTCAGAGCTTATCTCTTGGAATTCGTCTTCCGAAATTCAAAAAAGGTACCCGGATGCCATTACTCCGGGCCGGAACTAAATTCCCTGATTTTACCAAGCTATGTCTCGATCGATATTCGTTCACACAGTGTTGCCAGCGTGTAATTCGTAATTATCCGTCTTCCGATACACCTGATCTGATTCGTCGTTACTTCGCCTGACGGTAATAAATTTTAACGAGTGGATCGCGCAATCGAGATCACGTGATTGCGAGTATGTTTCGGGCACGTGAATCCGAATGCCGCCTTTAAAATCGCCGCGCTAGCGCGTAATCGCAACGAGTAGCGCGGTGCCGGTATTGAAGTGGGTGGTCCGCCGGGATGATTCACACTTTTTTGCTTTTCTGTTGCAGGCAGTTCCTGGTGTTGACATTCTTGTTGGGTGTCTGCGCGGCCGACCAGACCGTGAGTATCTCTCTGTTCATTAATTCCAACAGGTTTACTTCCCTCGGGCATCTCCATTCTCGCTTTTGCCGCCTTAATTATCGCCTCCCGTTACTCCCGTTGTCCGAAAACTCTTAATAAATCGTTATTTCGACGCCATGTTTAACGAGCAACCGTCGATTGTTTTTTTGTTTCTCTCCCGTTTCGCGTAGATTTCCGTCGACGCAAACACTCGAAATGGCACTATCGGAAAACATTTCGAATTCGTTTAAATTATGTCTAGTCACGTGATAGTCTAGGCAGCATTAAAAAAAAAAATCCAGAAAAAAGATGTAGGAGCTATCTGCGGTACCGTGGCTACCGTTTATTAACGGAAGACAATAGCATAATGGTCGAGTAGGTGGAAATGCCAGGCTAATGACTCCCCTCTATGCTCCGGCTCTAATTGTCCGATCGGACAAGCGATACCGACTCCTACGCCTCTTTATTGCCTCGAAACGGCCATTTCTACCCTGGTTTAATTAGTTTCCACTTCCAAACTCCTACGGTCCGACAGGATCACGTGACGCGGATCAAAGGCCGCGCGGTTCGGTGATTAACAGAAAATGCGCTACATCTAAAAATCTTCCTTTCCATAAATTGACTCTTTGTTCGAAGTTGTAATTTTCGTTTCCGATGTGCCTCCTGTTGGAACTCTTCGAAGTTACATAATGCCTTCCAAAATGGCATTAGGAACGATGAGTTCGGGACGACGGTTGCTCAATATCGAAAACTGTGACTTCACCCACAGCTTTTTTTTGGTCCTTGGCTTACTTATAGAGTCGTGGGTGTAGCAACGTCTCCGAAGAATTTTGGACTCTTCCACGTTTCCACATTACCCACTTCAATGACAGTGGGGCGTGACCCAAAGCTACGCGAATTATAAAAAGAATCGTGAATAACGACGAGAATTTTTTTTTTTTTTATAATTTAATGGATCCGTAAATAGCGATTGCGCGTATTCACGCTCGGTGTGCGTCCCAGCCGATAGCACATTTCGAGTGGTATAGTCGCGACGCGTAAGAAATCGTATCGGCGCGTGGCGTCGTCGGGGATCGGGTATCGCAACGACGCGTCGCACCCATTGGCGGTTTTAATTTCTTAACTGTGGCGACGACGCGTGACCGCGAAAAACTAGGCAATGGGTGCGTACGGTCGCGTGACGCTAGTCGCCCTTTCGAGGTCATCCGTCACGCGATGTACGAAGAAAGCGATTCCTATCACGTGATCGAAAATATAGGTTAAGTCGTAAGTGTTGTAGTAATCCGAGGCATCGCCGAACGATTATTATGCAGAAACTGATTTAAAAAACGTGAAATTTTCCAAGTTTTCCAATTAATGTCCCCGCTCAAGGTCACGCGATGCGCCACAGTTGTCGGTTGTGTAACTTAAAATATTTCGAGGTCAAAATTATTTTGTAATTAAATCTTATTTTTTTAATTTTTTTTAAATTTTCTCTTAATTGAAATAAAACAGCCGAGAAAATTTTCAAATATTTTAAACGAATGTCTACTAAAACTTTTATCGTCAAATACTTCACGCTTCGTATCCGATAGCAAATTTTCTTATAAATGTATTTGTAATATTTAAATATTGTTTATAATGTTACTCTTTAATTCCGTGCCTTTAGAACCTCGCGACCTTAAGTCATAAAATGTCACAAATCAACTAGAACGACGACATTTCTCATAAATAATCCGCATTAAAAGAAACAAGTATGTTAATGTGTTCCATCTTATATATAAAATTTGAAACGTCAAAAGACCAATAATAAATAATTAAAGTTTTCTGCGGTTTATTTTAATACGAAAGAAGAAATAAAATGTAATTTCTGCGAAAAAAAAACGTGCATTGACAAAAATCAGACGAAATTTTCTGATTAAAATGATATCCGCTAGAGGGATTGTAATTGCCATTTTAAAAAAATACTCTCGGGTCAAGCAACCGGCCCGTTCTCTCATACGTTCGTTCTTTCCTTTCCTGAATATAAATAGGATAACGAAAAAGTTTTAATAAGACGTATCAAAATTATAATTCGGATATTATAAAAAAAATTATTTTAAATTTGCAATATCTTTAATTAAAAATATTCGCTAGGGGTTCTATGCTTTAAACATTTAATATTTGGATTTAAATTTTTAATATTATTTTTAATAATTTTTAACTTGAATGAGCTGTATTAATTTATGTAATAATGTAGATTTGCGATTTTCTGAAGGACTATGATTAATATTTCCAGCGTGTTGCTAAAAAATAGATCCGCTAGGAGGAGACGAATTCCTTTTTGTTTTCTTCTTTTTTGAGGCGGGTGAGAGCAACTATCTGGATCGTTGATACTTTTTTTTTTAATCTACGAAACACGAACAGAATACCGAGACTTTCTTATTAAGCAATTATATCTCGGAGTAATATTGTAAGCGAATTTATTATCTAATAGAGTCTGGCCACTTATCTTTTAGATAAACAATAAAATCCGATTATCTCGAAGATCCCGCGGAGAATGACGTTCGGACATTTGTCATCTTTTTTTTCTTTCTTAATCTTTGCAGCATCTGAGACACAATCGCTACAGGAATGTCACCTACGGACTTCACAGGAGAGATGCTGAACACGGACCCTGGGGCGAATGGAGCGAAAGTAGCCCCTGTTCTCGCACCTGCGGCGGGGGAATTGCATTTCAGACCAGAAGATGCACGGATCCCAGGTAGGTATGCCCGCCGGAAGGCCCTTTTTTCCGGAAGCAATCGCATCGCCGCACGACACCTCGCGACCGGGTGAAGCCCCGTCTACAGGTAAATCTCGGACTGCAATTTTTTTTTCGTCGGTGTCCACGGTTCGAGTTAAGATAATCTTTACGAAACGTATCTGTCCTTGAATGGTGTCTCGGTGACGTCACCGTCTGGATACTTCTTTACTCCCCCGCACAGTGGAGGGTATATGTCTTGTGTCTAGTGTCCTGTCAAGACTTAACGAATGCCACCCCGCGTATATTCGCCTACAATTTCTCTAATCTTCAGCATCTTTCTTGTATATTTTTATATCCTTTATGCGGCTTTCTACGTGTTTTTTTTTGAACTTTCCGAAGCAGAAACACGATACGTTTTGGAATTTTGAAACGAGAGTTTTCGAAAGATTTTCCACCACCACGTTTTTATCTACTAGATCTAGATCCGATAATTTAGAAAATCGAAAACTCGGCGAAGAGACGTGGCGATAACACACGACCCTCGATGACCCCGAAGTAAAATCTATAGAGGATAAAATAGGTTTTTAGGTAACGTCAGACGGGGAGGGAAGTAGACACTTTCGTCTTCGAGTTAAAATTGTTTGGCCGTGGATTCTCGTAACTCTGGATTTAACTGGAGAAGGGCGAGCCGAGTCGTCTGAAAGGATCTGTTCTTTATATCTGAAAGAAGAAAATAAGCAGAGGGCGTGGTCTACGAGGCGTCCCGTCGAGAGTCCCTCACACGCCCCTTCCGGTCAGGTATCCGGATTATGTTACGTTGTAATTCAGTCATCCTTCGTTTAGTTACATTGTTTGTACCTTATAGTTTTGATATTAGTCGCCAGGAGGCGATCGAAACGATAAATAACCTCGGCTCTTAATCCGGATTTTTAGTTTCTTCGACTTTCGGTCGTTCACTCGGAGTAAACAACCTTTACGGGCACATCTATCATTCCGCCAAACGAGATTAAAACTGTTCCTAAATTAAACGTTCTTCCTTTTTAGAGGAGAAGACGAATAACGGAAAAGTATGCAACTCGTCACGTGCATCGACCAGCGAAAGGTCAAATTACGCGGTTCGTTTTCTTCATTTTCCTTTAATAAAACAATACTTTGGTTAATCGAAAAATAGGCCATTGCCATTGTTTCTAAGTCGATGACGTAAATATAAATAAATTTCAAATTCGAAATTCGGTACGCATTTTAACTAGAAATGCCTTTTATCAGTTAACACACAAATACATTTTGTGTTAAACTAATACAATTTTCAGCAAATTTTAATTTAAAAAAAAATATATAAGCGTGTCGTTGGATCAGTGTTTAACTTCCGATCTTCATATTCAAGTTATAAAATTTAATTAAAATTGTAACGAAATCCCTATTCGTTAACTGAATTTTTAAAAGTTTTTTTTGAGATTAGAAAGTTAAAAATTTCGTAAGACAGAAGAAAATTAATTAGACCGGTTCGATCTGTCGTCACTAAGGAGCGCCGAAACTGTTATTTCGTCGTCACTCTATCGATTAAAATAAAGCGATTCGACGAGTATTCGAGTGTTTTAAAGTTTCACCTCGACCTCCAACCCGATATAAAATAGACAAACCGGTTAATTCAGTTTACTAGGGAAATAGTAATGATTTGTCGACGAGAACCGGCAGCGCATTCTCATTTCCGAAACTCTAGCGGAGAAATTTTTTTTTTTTTTTTTCGTTTGAAAAATGCGAAAAGCGTCACCAAACGGGAAAAATTTTTAAAAAGGAATGTCGTCTGTCGTCGGGTTTGATAAATTTATGCGAATTTTTGAGTAACGCGGATATTTCCTATAAAATTAAACCGTTTTTCAGGAGGTTTTAAGTGGAAAACGAATATTGTCGTGGTGGACGGAGTTTTTTTCGAAGCAGCTTTAGAGAATTTACCTTTTTAAGAACCCGCCGACCGCGTCTTAAAGGGGCAAATAGGACGCGAATCGGTAATGTAGGCCGCCGGAAACAATGGCCGCTCGTTCTGGAAAAAAAAAACGAGACGCTTTTCAAGGAGCGTTTCCTCAGGCTACGGGAACTAAATGGAAACACTTAAAGCTCGTTGGAATTATTAAAAACTCTTTTGAGTAGGCCGCATCCCTCGGGCCAGGCCAAGGTCCGTCGGCCCATTAAGCGGACGAAGACGTTTTTTAAAGACGTTCCCCCGGGGACGCCAATCAATTAGTCGACGCGACACGTGACCTTCCCCTCCCCTTCATTTAGAAGCGTCACCTAATCCCGGACCTTTTAAATATCCGAACGTTTAAGTAAAATGCCTTTTTATAAATTCTGGTATCGATTTTTTGTAGGCCCGAATCCTGCCTGGGACCTTGGAAGATGTACTTCTCGTGCAACATTCAGGTAAGAAGAAATAATTTTCGTTTCTTCCCCGTCTTCTCTGTTACTAAACCCTAATCGCTCGGTATCGAACTCCGTCCGAAAAAAAAAATGGCGGAGTGGAAGAACTAGATTCCGACACGATATCCCGCTTTCGTATCCCTTCTGCACCCCAAGTTAAGTGGACTTATCAGAAGTTTTTTGGACTCGGAAACGGGACGATAATTAGTAAGAACCGCAGTTTCTCTTACCGGACCCTAAATCGTCCTTTTTTTTTTTTTTACTCTTCCTTCTCCCGCCTTCCCTCTCCATCGAGAATGTAAACACGTCGGAACGGAGAGGTCACCGGCGTTTTATTAGCTATAAGGGTAAGTGGCCACCCCGTTTGCCCCCGGAAAAGCGTCGGGGGTCGAGGGTGTCAGGTAGGAAGACGAACGAGGAAGGGCGAAGGGGCGGAGAGAGGGGAAAGGCGAAGGAATGCGCGGAAGACGGTGGACGTTGGCCACTTCCTTTTTAAGCCAACAAAAGAACGAAACGAATTGAACCGACGTCGACCGACTTAATTCGTTTGTTAAGAACTCGTCGTCTGTCGGACGAGACGCTTCGAATGATGTGTGCGACGCTTTCTTTGTGAATTAATTGGTCCGGGGCCTCTCGGGCCGTTTCTTCTTCCCGTCTGGCGCGCGCCGATAGCAGTAATACTCCGGGTTTAACGCCGGTCGATATTTTCTAAAGAGTGACGTCGGAAGGGATTTTTGCCTGCCCTCCGCCTGCAGATTCGGACGAAACGTCGACCGGCCCAAAAAATGGAAGAGGGAGAATCGGTCGACGCGCTTCTCCGGGTCTCGGACCACGCCCCAGAAGCCCCATTCGTCGCGTACCGATATCGAATGGCCGTCTTTCCGGTGCGGTCGACACTCGACGACGGCGAAGGAAGCCGAATCGAGTGGCGTTTCGCTCTCTCTAAGCAGACAATGGGATTTTTTTTTAAACGCCGACGGATACTCGGAGTTACCTTCGCCCTCCCGACGTTTCGATGGGGATTTACGAGCTTTCCCGGGTCGAGATTTGGCACGTTTAACGAGATTACCGGATTCTTACACGTAGCGGGCCGACGGGGTTGAATTATTTAAGAGCGTGGTTACCCAGAAGGGAATCTTGTAAGAACGCGTGTAATCCTCCGAAGACCCCTCGACCTCGATTCATTTATCGCTTACGTGCTTCATTTACTCGCCCCTCCCGGACGAGATCCGATGACGTCACGACTTCCCCAACCATTATGTTGTTTTTTTTTTTATATTCGTTATCGGCCGAAACGTATAAATAGGAAATGGCGTTTTAATTACGCTTCGAATCCGGAACTGTCGGTCGGAGAGGGCCGGGAAGCGTCTTCGGTTCGACCTCTGCCAAAAAAGAAAAACTTGCCGGACGTCCGTCGTCGACTCGTTTATCGAAACTCCGTGTTTGTTTTGTTCCGACGGCGGCGTTTATCTTCTTTACGATCCTCCTCCGCGGTATTTCACGCGCTCCGAACTGGAAAGAGTGGGTCTGCCACTCCGACCGGGTTAAGTACCGGTACTTACATCCCTTCCAGCCATCGTAAACTGGAAATGTAAACACGACGTCCTTCCCGTTTACCTAATTTCCTCCCTCTCCTCGTTCTACGCTTCTACTTTTTGCTTCCATCTCTTCCTATTCCCTTTAAATGTTCCTTTAAAAATGGCTGGTTAACGGGATTTTTTCCGCGTAGGATTGTCCGGAAGGGTCCAAAGACTTCAGAGAAGAGCAATGTTCCAACTTCGACCGGATCCCTTTCGAAGGAAAGCGCTACCGATGGGTCCCCTATCACAAAGGTGAGGTTAATACTCGCCCGCTCCTCCGGCCGATTTCTGCCGAAGTACAAGATTTTTTCTGGTTTCAGCACCCAATTCTTGCGAGCTGAACTGCATGCCCAAGGGGGAGAGGTTTTATTATCGCCATTCCAGGAAGGTGATAGACGGAACTAGATGTCGAGACGACGGTTCTCTGGACGTTTGCGTGGACGGAACGTGCATGGTAAGCGCCCGTCTCTTCTCCCCGTCCGTCTCCTTTCTCGTTTAACACTTTCTCCTGGCTTCAGCCGGTGGGTTGCGACATGATGCTGGGATCGGAATCCAAAGAGGACAAATGTCGAGAGTGCGGAGGCGACGGACTCAGTTGCAAGACGGTGGAAGGACTCTTCGATCTGGATAATCTGCAAGTCGGTAAGTGAAATTGGCGCGCCGTTTTTCGGCCGGCGATGCGATTTTATGGGGACGTTCGGTTCTTCCAGGTTACAACGACATCTTGCTGATTCCCGCCGGAGCCACCAACATCTTCGTCAAAGAGAGACACGCCACCAACAACTATTTGGGTAAGCATGGCTATCGCTCGCGGCCCGGGTTTATCGTCGCTCTGACGTTTTCCGTCCGCAGCCATTAGGAATCTGACCGGACACTTTTACCTGAACGGAAACTGGAGGATCGAGTTTCCTCGCAGCCTGAAGTTCGCCGGAACCACCTTCCACTACGAACGCAAACCTCACGGACAGTTGGCACCCGAAACGTTAAGGGCCCTGGGACCCATCACCGAATCCGTTTTCATCGTGGTAAGTACCGCGGCGCTCTTTCTTTCGTTTTGCCGGTCCTCGACATCTGAAACGTGCCCTCCTCCCTCAGTTGCTGTACCAAGAGAAGAACCAAGGCATCAGCTACGAGTACTCCATTCCCAACGGCGTCAGCAACGCCCAGCCCGATACCTATTCGTGGATCTACGGAGATTTCGGCCAGTGTTCCAAGACGTGCGGAGGAGGTGAGTCACCGGTGGCCCTCCGGCCCACGCTCTCCCTTCCTATTAACCCTTTTCTGCATTCCCAGGTCATCGGGTGCGTCCGGTCAACTGCGCCAGGACCAGTAACTTCGAGGTGGTGGCCGATTACTTATGCGATCCGTCGCTGAAACCTCCCATCAACGGCAGCTGCAACGTTCAACCCTGCCCCGCCAGGTGAGTCGTTCCGGCCGGTGAGAGGGTGGTAGGAACGCGTTTACGTAATCCCGACCGTCGCAAACATTCCGTAACGGCGCAAGTTCCCGCCCGTTATGGCGGTTTCTGGGTTTTTGGAAAGGCGAAGTTTGGACGGCCGTCGTATCTCGAGTGGGAATCACGTAGCGGGATGGAAGGGAATTGGCCAGGTTGGGCACGGCCGGCTTTAAATAAATAAATTTTATTGCCGGGATAAGATTACCTACTACTAAGCGCGCGTTTCCTTCCGTACGCTTTTACCGTTTATCGTGGTCTCTGTCGAACGAGAAATAACAATAAACGATATACGTCGTCCGGATATTGCTTACCTTTACCATTTTCCTAAAAGTTTCTCCTTTCCTTTGTGCGCTGGAAAATGATTTTGATGGGATGGAATTTCTAGGAAAGCCATCGCGACGCATCGACTTTCGAGGTACGCGTAATTCTCGCCGCCCGCTTTGTTTACTCGCATTTTTCCGGTTTCGGACCGCTCCCGGGTCAAATAATTCCTACGATTTTAATTAAGGACGTTGGGAAGATTTATACGGACGGGTCGGCGTAGTCTTCCGGACGCTCCTCTGCCGCGATTTTAGCCTCCAAGTTTCGGAAACGACAGTTCTCGCGCCATCTGGTCGGAGAGAAAGGAGAGAGCGCATTATTATGTAAATATATGCATTCTCGGTTATTTATATGCAGATTTTTTACGTTGTGATTAACCATAATATACGTTTTCATACTTTAATTTTTTTAAATGTCGGGTAGGTAAACATTATCTTGATCGTCGTCTGCGCTTAACGGTACTGTACCAGTTTTTTTTTCGTTTTCGTCGGAGATTTCTGGTAGACGTATATTTCCCAGTGCACGTGCCCGTCTTCTCGGTCGCTGCCCCCGGCCGAAAAGGCGCGGGCCTAGTTGCTAGAAAGGAAAACCCCTTTTCCTTTATCCCTTTGGAAGGAATACGGGTCTTTATCAGAGGAGAAACGGCCCGCCCGCTCTCTCTACCACGTTTACGAAACCGGAGCGGTGAAATAGTACGTTTAGAAATGTCGCGCGGACGGCGGGCGGTTTCTCCGGGAGGTGGTAAAAAAAAGTAAATGGAGTTACGCCCCCGAACCAGATTTATACGTTTTTCGGGGCAAATTAAATGGGAAAGAATTTCTGGTGGCCATTGTCGGGTTACATAATATATACGCGCGCGTCTGGGAGAAGAATGAAACGGTGGCGTATAGACGTTCCGACAAAGAGAAACTCGTGGCACCGAAAAGAGAGTAAGAAGAAGGTCTTAAAAGGTTGTCCGTAACAAAGAAGTTGGGATAAAGCCCGACGGGTGACGAGAAAAGACGAAAATATTAAAAAAAAAAAGAAGTCCGGGAATGGAAGCGTGAAAGACGGGCAGCGAAAGTGCGAGGATTTAATAGGAGAGAAGAGAAATTACCGTTAAAGAGCGGACGGGAGGGAGGCGAAATTATTAGGGAGGCGCCCGGGAGAAAAGGAAGAAGGATAGAGACGAATTTGCCCGAATCCCGGTAATTCCCACGAAATCGATAGGGGAGGAAGATCGATAAATCGCCTCTTCCGGAAAAGGGGAGACCGGCCCTTAGCTGTTTTAGTTCCACCAACGACGTCGGAACCGAGTCCTTTAAATTAAAACGAGTTTCGAAATTCCTCCGTCGCCGGAGTCGAAATCGAAAACAAAGGAGGGAAGGTGACGTAAATGTTAATTCCCGTTCCGCAGATTCGGTCTTTAAAATATCGCACTTTCGTGGGGTTTACCGCCTTCCTTCTAACTTGTAAGTGCCGTCGACACTGCGCCCGGCGCGTAAATTTCTTCGAAATGCGCGGAAGAACGCTTTCCGGCTTTTTTCCTCTGGAACAAAATTTCGGAAAATTCGGAGGGAAGCCGGTGGCGTCAAGGAGATAGAAACTTAAAGACTCCCTCGTCTTTTGTCGAAAATTTCTAAAATTTTGCGGGGAGGTTGGAGTATGTATTAGGGACGTCGATGCTATTAAATTTCGTTGGTTAAAGGTCGAGGTGGTGGAGAGATAATGGGGTGGCGTGTATCTCCGGTCGGACTTAATAACGATTTTACTGGTTATTAGCATTTACAAAAACCGTCTCACTTTCAAAATTAAGCTTTTTGCCATTTTGTAATAATTAATAACGTAAAAACATTTTTAAAATAAAATATCGTAACGGATGGCGCCAGGCCGAATTTTAAATGTCTCTGGGAAAGTTAAGCCACTCGTTGCCGGATTTTTTCTATTCGAACGGAAAGACCCGGGAACGAAGGGCCGGGCTTTGGCCCGTCTGGTTTATTTGGTTAGGGCAACGCGACGGGGGACCGTCTGCAGAAAAGGAGAACTTTCTAACGTTACGACGATAAGGGGAATAATTACTTATAGAAGAGAAAGGGGGCGAAGAGGATTGTCCATTTTTAAACTAAAGACGGAGGTTAATTAAGGTATTTAGGGGACGTCTTCGTCTAAGCTTCGGAATGTTGCGCGCAATTATCGTGGCACCAATTTAAAAGGCTGCTTCGAGGTCGCCCTCTCTTAACTGGCGTTTACGTCCGGCCAGTAAAGGGATACTTTTTCCCTCCTATTATTCAAACCGTGTTTTTTCGGGGGTTATTTTCTCCCTCAATTAGGTTATTTCCGCCTCTTTCCTATCAAATTTCGGCGAAATGGACACCGGTCCCTACGATAAATTTCGGATTCCCGGCAGAGTTTTTGCCACCCGAATGGAGAGTGGTGGCCGATATTCGGAATAGTCTCGGACCGCACGCCGCGTCCGTGGAATGCGCGCGCTGTCCGAGACTATTGGTAATTTATCGCTTATAGCCAATGGGAAGGCGGTCAGATTTAAACAAAAATGTCGACCGAGAAAGAAACTGAGAAGATTAGTTCATAATCTTCTATATACAGTATATATAAATTAGAATGTTTGTTTGTTCGCTATGCACTCCTAAGCCGTTCGACTAATTGCTACGAAACTCGGCAGTTACGTTTTTTTCACGTACCCCTAACTTACGTAATGTCATACATTCCACCCCAAATGATCAACTGAATTTCTATATATCGATTAATTTTTGTCTACGTTGATTGATTGCTTTACACGTAGCGCCATCTATTGGTAAAAATTTAACAAAATAATAAACTAAATCTAATTCTTACGAAAAAGGATATAATTTTTAAAAATATATAATTATATTCACTTAATTACTGCGACAATGATATAGCACGAAGTAGACCTGCTATATTATTTCTGAAGGTTAGCACATAACACTAACATTCACGGAGTGGAAACTGTTATACCTGTATTCGGTGGTGAGTTGGCACTTAGCCAACGGGCCAGCCAGGTGGAGTTTTCCGGGTTTTCTTCGAGTTAGTAACACCTAAGTAGGGGTCAGTTTTCCGTAAAACTGTTCCTGGGAGGCATCATTCTCGGCAGATGGCCTACGTGTCGCGTAGCCGTAACCAAATAAACCCAACTAATTGTAATAATTTTACTATAAACCAGGCCATTTACAAGAAAAAACTTTCCATCTAGTTGTATAAACTAAAATCAATGTTTTTTAAATTGATTTTACTTTATATATTTTTGAAATTTACGATTAATAACGCCGGGGTGTAATAATTACTGCCAGTTTATAAACCCAGGCGTAACGAACTAACTTAAAAATTAAATGAAACCTTAGAGCTCCCTCGGGGATTAAGAGAAGAGAACCTTGCGACAAAACGGGTGGACACGTGTCCCCAATGTACGAGCGCCCCCGTTGATTTTTCTGGCTCCTACCGGGCGAGATTTTAATTTGGCATCCGGGCCCGACGGCCGCTTCCGTTACGGGGGCGAAATCGGCCGGAAGACCCGGAGAAGACAATTTTAAACGGGGGACGGTTAGGCCCGAAATACAATCCGAGACCGAAATTAAATTAAGGAAGTTCTCGCGCCGTCGGTCTCCCCGGGATTTCTCGCGACGATATTTAGTCCCAGGAGGATGGGAATGAATACCAGAGGTAGAGTAAATTTTCGGCGGGACCGACCTCTAAAGTCGAATCGGTAAACCAGTGAGTGAAGGGAGACAGCGTCCGAAACTTGGTCTATGTTGCGGAAAGGTGTAGCGAGTGGAAGGCAAAGACGCCCGACCAGTCTTATTTGTGTTTAGGAAAATGTCACCTACCGAAAGGGAACGAAACTCTTTCTCCGAGCGGCATTTACCTCCTCCTCCGACCTCTGCCGTTTTTGCGTTGTCGGACGGAGGCATTAAATTCTCCCCTTTCCCGTCAACTGTTCGATTTTGTGCTATCGGAGTGGCCGGGCTTCGATAGTTGGGTTACGCGTCCACTCGCGCTCGATTTCGTCGATTCGTATCGACAGAAAAACGGCCGTAACGGAAGTGTAACGACGTCTTCGTAATTATAAAATCGATTAAAGACGAGAGTTTCTTCCTCCCTGTTATCGAGAAAAAGACGATTCTCTGGCAATAATCGCATTTCTGGTCATCGGCGTTTTAATTTTCCTCCTTATCTTTTCTCCTTTTAACGTTTAAACCCACCGTTAAAATTCATCTTTCCAGCAACTATCCATTTCCTCTCGTCCTCAACGTAATCTCCGGAGGAAGGAAGAGGAAGATTTCTCTTCCGGGGAGAAGACTATATTTTTTAAAACGACGCTCTCCTATCAATTTGTCTTTTTAGTACCGTCCCTACCGCATTTTTCTTTCTTTTTTTCTTTTAATAACAATTGCCGCCACTCCGGCACTGACCGATTCTTACCGTACAGGTGGCACGTGGGAGAATGGGACGCTTGCTCGCACACTTGCGGAGGAGGAATGCAGTATCGATTAGTACACTGTCAGAGGATGGTCAACGGGGGTTCCGTCACCTTGGTGCCGGAAGAAGAGTGTCCCACGCCCAAGCCGGCCTACGTCCGGAAATGCAACCGGGAAGTTCCCTGTCCCCGATGGCACGCGGGACCTTGGAGTACGGTAGGTAGTAAATTTGTTTTCCTCTTTCTCTAGCCTTCGGATGTAATCTTCCCACTGACTTTTCTTTCCTCTAGTGCAACAAAATGTGCGGCGAAGGCAATCAGACTAGACTGGTGGTCTGTCAGAGAGAACACGCGGGACGCATTCCGGAAGTTCTGCCCGATTCCAACTGCAAATCGGAGATCAAACCAGAAGCCACCCGAGACTGCGACGCCGGACCTTGCGAAGGAGTCGAATGGATCGTGTCCGATTGGACGGGAGTTAGTATCTTTTCGCTAAAGTATCGGTAAAAGCGTTGCCGACCACTAAACTTTTCGGCCTCTCGCTTAGTGTGACGGAACCTGTGGACTGGGGATGGAATCCAGAGAGGTGCACTGTTCCACGGAAGACGGTCATCTCTATCCCTTGGACAAATGCGAAACGAAACGTCTGCCCACCCTGACCAGACCCTGTAGCGAAAATCTTCCCTGCCACCCCATTTGGCACTCTTCCGAATGGTCCGAGGTTTGTTTCCCTTTCTCCTTCCTTCCCGACTTTTTCCCGGAAGCAAACGCTTTTCCTATGAATTACTCATCTTTGGATTCATTTACGTTTTAGTGTTCTGCCAAGTGCGGGACCGGTATACAGACGAGATTGGTATTCTGCGGCATATGGGAAGGTCAACACGTCAAGAAAGTTAACGAAAACAAGTGCAAAGCTAACAGACGACCCGAATCCATGCAGAATTGTACGGTGGCACCCTGCAAAGGAATGTGGTTTTCTAGTCCTTGGAACAGGGTACGTATCAAAGTACGGAGGATCCACGCTGCATAAATTCGATCACGGAGTATTATTATTTTTTTTTAATTTTTATTCTTAAAAGCAAATCGTTTTATTCGGCTCCACGTAAAAGGCTCCGAACGTACAATTACGTAAAAAATACCCGCAGGCACAAAGTATTATTTATTTAACGCGTTAAGACAAGTACGATTCGACGGATTAGTCTAGTAGTGTATACAAATCGTAAATATCATTAAGGCGTTTTTAAAGTAACCGAATTATTTAGGTCGGTGTACTCAGCATTTAATCAGTTCTGGGTTATGGTTGACCCGTAATAAAAATGTTTAGTCCAATGGTCAACTAGTATTTAGGTAACGGACGTTTGTGACGATTCCAGTCAGAGCGAGAATTTTTTTATGGCCATCTTAAGTCTGCCGACAATTATACGAAACACCAGATAGAATTACACGTAAGATTTAGTATTTGGATTCGGATATAATTTCGTATTCGTCTCTCACTTGACCAGGCAGAGTAATTATACGAAATTTGGTCCGGGCAGACGACCTCTTTTACATTCGTAAACTATTTAAATAACGGGTGGATTTTTTTCTCGCCAAGTGTTCGGCTCCCTGCGGAGGAGGTCACAGGGTGAGGAAGGTGATGTGTCTCCACAAGGAAGAGATGGTTTCCAACAACAGGTGTGATCCCAGCACCAGGCCGTTTCACAAGGAGCCTTGCAATCTTCATCCTTGCGATGAAGGTAAGCTGCGGATGGTATCACTACCCTCTGGATAAAAAGCGGCAACTAAAACCGGGTGTCTTTCAGATGAAATAATGATGGTGGGGGGCTGCAAGAATTCCAAATACGGCTGCTGTCCGGATGGAGTGACGCCGGCGGGAATTAATTTCGAAGGTTGTCCGCCGGTGGAGGACGTGCCACCCGAAGGATGTGAGGGAACGGAATTCGGATGCTGCGCCGACGGAGTGACTCCGGCTCTGGGTCTTTTCAAGTAAAGTATATAACGATTGCGGGAGGGAGAAGGAAGATGCGATCTCTAATCCTTAAACGTGTATTTCAGGAAAGGATGTCCTAAAACGGACACGTGCAACGACACCAAGTACGGCTGCTGCCCAGATGCCATCACGCCGGCCAAGGGCCCGGAAGGAGAAGGATGTCCGGATTCGTGCCAGACCACTGCCTGGGGCTGCTGTCCCGACGGTCTGACCCCCGCTGCTGGAGAAGACCAAATGGGCTGCGATCCTGTTTCTGCCAAACCCTGTCACCACACCCCCTTCGGCTGTTGTCCTGACGGAATTGCGGCGGCCGAGGGGCCCGATAATCTGGGCTGCGAGGACCTGGCCTCTTCCGGAGAAGAGTGTGTCGACTCCCGCTACGGCTGCTGCCCAGATGGCCTGACTCCGGCCGACGGGCCCCACGGACGAGGTTGCCCGGAAGATGGTGCGGTGGTACGACTACCTACTCCCACCGCCTCCACTCTGTGCCACCGGAGCCGGTTCGGCTGTTGCCCAGATGGAACCGCAGCTCGGGGACCTGAGGGACAGGGGTGCACGGATGTGGAAGGCAGCGGCGAACCCCCGGCAGACTGTGGAGACACGGTCTACGGCTGTTGTCCTGACGGAATCACCACGGCCTCTGGTCCACAGGCCGAAGGATGCGAAGAGATCGAGGTGCGTGTGCACTGTGGACACACCGCCCATGGATGCTGTCCCGATGGAATAACCGCTGCTTCCGGTCCCGGAGGAGAAAATTGCCCCACCTCCACACCCGCTTCGACAGAGAGTAGCGAAGAGGAGACAGTAGAACTGCCAGATTCTCGAGAGACCACCACCTCCTCTTCTTCCACTTCTTCCTCTTCTTCCGCTTCTTCCTCTTCTGAGGAAGACATCTCGAAGAAGGAGGAATCCGCCTGCTCCCACACTCATTACGGCTGTTGTGCAGATGGAATCAGCACCGCTCTAGGCCCCAATGGGGAAGGATGCTGCCATTCTTCTCTCTATGGTTGCTGTCCCGATAACTCGACCGCTGCCCGAGGTCCGGATTTCGGGGGCTGCGACTGCCACACCTATCCGCATGGCTGTTGTCCCGACGGAGTTACACCTGCCAGTGGCCAAGGGTGAGTTTTCCCATTTTGTTCAGATCTGCTTTTGGAAGAATTGGTCGTTCTAAGGCTCAAGTCTTCATTTTCAGGTATTATGGCTGCTCCTGCCACACCTTTCCTCACGGCTGCTGTCCTGATGGTAGAACTGCTGCCACTGGGCCCGATGGCCAAGGATGTTCCTGCAAAGAGCTGACTCATGGTTGCTGTCCAGATGGAAGAACTGCCGCCTCCGGTCCAGGATACCAGGGATGCGGCTGTCTGTCCTCCAAGTTTGGATGCTGTCCGGATGGGACCACTCCTGCTGGAGGACGTCACTTTGAAGGCTGTCCCTGTGTCACCACTCCCTACGGATGCTGTCCTGACGGCGTTACGGCGGCGCGGGGCTCCGATTTTGAAGGTTGTCCTGAGACGCCATCGCCCCCAGTCACCAGAACTGCTGGAGGTAAGTGGCTTATTAATTAATTATCCAGGAAGAGACGAAAGTACATCATGACCCGCTCTGGTTTACAGATGCCTGTGGCCTGCCCAAGGAGCGTGGACCCTGCCACGATTATGCCGTCAAGTGGTTCTTCGACATGAATTACGGAGGATGCAGCAGATTTTGGTATGGAGGTTGCGACGGGAATGCCAACCGATTCGACACACAAGAAGAATGCCAACGGATCTGCGTCTCCCCGGAAGGAACTGGTAATCTCCCTTCTGCCCATTCAATTCTCCTTCTGTCTTCGGCAGGCCTACCCATCGCCTCCCTTCTTCTTTACAGATGCCTGCTTCCTTCCCCGAGTGGCGGGACCCTGCGAAGGCTCCTATCCCTCCTACTACTTTGACAAGTCATCTGGAAAATGCCGTTCTTTCGTCTACGGAGGGTGTCTGGGAAATAACAACAGGTTCGAAACTGAAAAACTCTGCCGACAGACTTGTGTGGAACGAGAGACCCTAGGTGAGTAGTGGGTGGGTAGCTTCTGTCCATCATCCTTTTCTCAATCCCCTTTTCTCCCAGATGAGTGCGAACGGCCTCTTGTGGTCGGACCCTGCAGAGGAGAGTTTCCCAGGTGGTACTACGACAAGTATGAAGGACGATGCAAACAGTTCTTGTATGGAGGTTGCAAGGGAAATGGAAATAACTTTGAAAGCGAGAGACTGTGCGTCGAGCGATGCGCGGCTCCCAGCGAAAGAGGTAAATTAGCGCCAGCTTCCCCTCAGACTTTTGCCCCTTTTACACTCGTCTGCACTGGATTTTTCTTTCAGAAATTTGCATCCTGCCGAAAGTGGAGGGTCCATGCTTAGGGAACTTTCCTCGATGGTATTACGACTACATGGATGGGCACTGCAAGGAATTCATCTACAGCGGTTGCCGGGGGAACAGAAACAGATTTGTCACCAAGGGACAGTGCGAGAAGATCTGCAACGCCACTCGCGTGGCTGGTGAGCAACTCGGGAATTTTTTACGGGGGCGGCGGGTAGTGAACCATTCTAACTCTTTTCATATCCATTCAGTGTCTTCTGACATCTGCACCTTGCCCAAGGCGGAAGGTCCGTGTCGAGCCGCCATACTGCACTGGTTCTATGACTCAGCTGCGGGTAGATGCCAACAGTTCTACTACGGAGGATGTGAAGGAAATGCCAACCGCTTTGAAAACCGCGGCGACTGTGAGAGGGCCTGCCTGTCCGACCGAGGTAAGTGGTCCGGAAAACCAGGAGGGGCCCTTTCAGTTTCCGCCACTGACCACTCTGGTTTGCAGAGAGAAACATCTGTCACCTGCCCCGAGAGAGCGGCAACTGTTTTGACTTTGCAGAACGCTGGTACCATGATGCTGACGCAGGTCAGTGCCGAAGGTTCTACTACAGCGGGTGCGGGGGCAACGAAAACAACTTCGTCTCTTACCACGAGTGCGAAAGAAAGTGTGGCAAACCCACTTCTACCGAGTTTCCTGAAGACGTCTTCAGCAAAGGTGAGTGGGGGCGGGAAATAAAGCCCAAAGCCGACTTTCGTCCTTCATCAACCTTGGTTTTCAGAATATTGCTTCCTGGAACAAGAGGCGGGACCTTGTTCAAAGAAAGAAATCCGCTGGTTCTATGATAAAACCGATGGCGTGTGCAAGGAATTCTACTATGGAGGCTGCAACGGAAATGGAAATCGCTTTAGATCTAGGAAAGAGTGCGTGAAGAAGTGTGGAGATTCTCAAGGTAGGAAGTAGCTAAAAGGGCAACGACATTGTCGTTTGGCATTAACCGCGTTTTGCTTGCAGATATTTGCACTTTGCCCAAGGTGCAGGGTCCTTGCAGTGGCTCTTTTCCCCAGTGGTACTACGACCAGACTGCCGATCGCTGCTGGGAGTTCTCATTCTCTGGATGCCAAGGCAATGCCAACAGATTCGATGACAGAGAGAGCTGCGAGCTCCGCTGCAGGAAGAACGTTCCCACCCAAATTCCGGTAGCGGACGGTAAGTTTGTATGCCGGTGGCCTGACCACAATGTCGCCGGGATAGAGGCTAAAGGCATTTTCTAACCACAGACGCCTGCGAGCAGAAGGAAGATCCCGGTCCCTGTCTGGGTTATTATCTCCGCTGGACCTATGACAAGAACGAAAATCTGTGCAAAAACTTCGTCTACGGGGGATGCGAAGGCAACGAGAACCGCTTCGAAAGTCGAAAAGACTGCGAGAAGAGGTGCGTGAAGAAACACGGCGGAAGCAAACCTGGTGAGTCCACTTCTTCAGGCCTAGTACCCGCGCGCGCGCAGATGCACGACTGAAGGCGGAAGGCCAAAACCACGCTGGTGGGAGTAATCAGCAAAACGTAAAACGTCAGACACCTGGCGGACGTATTTTACGTTTTCTAAGTAAAGAAATCGTGCCAACGGTTAAAACCGAAATTCCAGTGAAAAAAGAGTAATTTTCCAAAACGCAATCGAAGGGAAAAGCGAAATGGCGACCTGGAAGATTTCTTATAAATTTCAAAATTCTGTAGAGTTTTTCTGACAAAACATTATTTTCGAACGTATGTACCTTGTATATAGTTCTTAGATTGCACTCACCGGCTTGTGACGTATGGATCCGAAGTTACCGAGTCTGCCAGGAGTCTGTTCCTTTATTTCAATTCGAGATATGTCCTTAATGAAACGCGGCTACATTTTCCCTAACCTTTATTCCGCGTTTCTTACGTTTCCCCAGTAGATCGGAGTCCTCCGGTGCTCCGCCTGGACGGTGTATAAATCCGGAGAAGTTTCTTTTACAACGCTGCACATACGGCCAAATTGTATCTATTCCGTTCGAAAAATAGCTTTTGAACGTGCTACAGAAGCGCTCCATTCTAAAAGAGAGAGGTAAAGAATAATAATAAAATATTGAGAAACATAATTTGCAACAGAGGCGCCAGGACCCTTCGTTTGAATTCGTCTAGTACGGTGTTTCTCAACGGGGGCGATATCGCCCCCATGTGGGCGATTTTCCACGTTGTGGGGGCGATTAGTAACAATTTATGTTTTGGGGGCGAAAAACAAATTTCTGAGCGATATAGTAAAACATTATATTAAGAATAATTAGATATTTTATTCGTTATATCGTACAATAATTAAACAAATAACATTATACTAGTCACTAGTCTATTCAATGCACTACGAATTTGGCATTAGCCTTGGCCCTCGGCATCGGAATTTTGAAGTGAAGGGGGCGATACTACATAACTGTTTTATTGAAGGGGGCGACGATTCGTTACAAGTTGAAAAACACTGGTCTAGTAAAATAGTTGGGTCACTGGCTGCCTAACTTTCCCAGTGAAAAACACATTGAGTGTGATGGCAGTTAGTGTTCCGTTCTGCCGGTAGAAACAATTTAATTTATTTCTGCAGTTTAAGAGTCTTCTTTATTGTCCGTCTTCGTTACCCGTCTGACGCGTACCAGTGTATTTCGCCTGTTCGATATTAGTTTATATTATTTCGCTTTTTAGGAAACCCGTATCTGCGCCTCGGCTAACCCGGTCGGCGATAGCCGTGCCAATAGACGTTGTCTTTGCAATTTATAATTTCGCTTATTTTACAATTCTACAAAAAATTTTGTTCCTATAACTTTACCTTATTTCGATTTCTGTTTTTCCCGGCTCGTTACGTATGTAGTATATAACACGGAAATGTATCAGAATCGTTACGGTAGCTATTTCGTTTAATATCTCAGGGTGGTGTAACGATTAAGAAACGAAATTTGGCATGGGTAGCTTACTTATAAGGGGAATCGATGCTATTAAATTTTGGAGGTTAGTGGCCGAGTGTATGGGAGAAAGAGGAGGATCACTTATCGTATCTCGACTACGTTCGCACTGTCCGCCACAATGATAAAAACCGTCTTTATCTGAAAAACATTCGCACCAGTCGTTATCGTTGCTCTTTCGTCTTACCAGTTAGTCGTTCGTCGTTCGAAAGTTAGCCCAGACGACATCTGTCGTTGTGGTAATGGTATTCGCCAATCGACGCGAACTTCCCACGATCCTTTGAAAGAGATGGAGAAACCACTAACCTCTTGTGTGGAAGAGAGGCCCTAGGAAACTTAATAAATGGTAGAAAGCGTTTGGATACGTACGAAAACAATTTTAAAGATCCTTTGCTGACTTTTAGTCGTGAAAGAGTGAAAATCGCCTTGTTTTTTTCTCGATACGAATGACTATGATCCATCATTGACATTTTGATATTTTCGTTAACAAAAGTAATAAATTCCGCTGTCGACGTCGAAGAATTAACACTTCCTGCATATACAATTTTAAAATGGATGAGTCCGATCTAATAGCGCAGAATGCCACGAAATAACGCTTAGCCTAATGTAAATTGGACATGCTCGAAAACTAATGAACAATACGAACACTGGAGACAAATACCACCAGACACGTTGTCATCGTGTAGGATTTGTGGTCGCTGTCCTCCGTAGTATGAACGCAGTTTTAACCAACATTTTACTGGTTATTAACATTTACAATGCTTTTTCTTTTTATAAAACCCATCCCTCCCCTAAAAATTAAGCCTATTTTGCCTATCCCTGCCATTTTATAATAATTAATAATATAAAAAGTTTATAACAAAATAACAGATGGCTCGACAGACAATTTTAATTTTGTACCAATCGGTGTTTATCGCCAGAAAAGTTCGCAACTCGTTCTGATTACAGTATTATTAATTTCGAGTGCGTTTTTCGCACGGCCTATCTTCACCTCGTAACTTTTGAAACATTGGTAAACTTAATTTTTAAATTTTACACGAGTTTTCTAGTGCATCGACGGCTGAATGCCGTAGTCTTAAATTTAATATTTACAAAACGTTCAATGTACCGTATATGTATAAAAATATCAATTCTTGTTAGTTAGTTTGTTGGTTTGTCCTTTATACAAATCTCTATTCTTAAACCTATCGGGACCAAAGTTTGTATAACTATTACTTTGACCTGGGAATCGACACTAACCTATATATTACCTCCTAATATTGTGATAGTGAAAAGATTACGTGTCCTTTACATGTAGCGCCATCTGTTGGCAAAAATAAATGCTAATTGTTTGTTTGCTAATGTTATATTATTATTGGTTTTTGGCATGTTGATAATATATTGTTGGTTTTCCTTTAGATGAGGGTCCATCTATTGGGAGACAGATCTGCAGATTTTGCTAAATAAATATTTTGTCTCGGTGATTTGCTGAAGATCCCCATTGTAATTTGATAGCGTACTACATAAACCACAAGTCTCAGAGATTAAGTACGAGAGATCAATATTGGCATCTAAAACAAATGCTTTGCCGAATGTACCCGGTGGAATTTTTAAACTCCTCGAAACCAGTTGGACTACCACGTCGTAACCTACAGTACCAATAATAATTTCGCGAAATTTGGAACACCAAAGATAAAAGTTCATTCTCGTCCGGTCAATAAAAGTTATAGACGGAACAAGAACGATCTTTTATCTTTGTTCGACAAGTCATTCTTATCTTTTATTTTTTACAGTTTCGTTATTAAAAATACTCGAGTCAATAAATGCACGTTTTGGTTACTAGGACCATTGTTTTTATCAGCCTCTCTCAACTCCACACCCGAGCAACGCCTGCTTTTTGAGTCACCTCTCAAGTAAAATATAAATGTACAGTAGCTTTGGGCCCTTATTAGTAAATGATGTTTTTGGCTTTATCAAAACGCGATTTGAAATTTATCTCGTCTGTTGCTGTGCATTTTCCTTTTTGTGTAGACGGTCATTTTTTTATCCGGATGTCTTTTCACTTTTATTTTTATATTTTAACTTTTATTGGGTCTGATTGTTTTTAGTGGGGGAGGTAATCTCACGCCTTAAGGAATTACCTATGGAGTGTATAAATAAATTAAATTATTTCCGAGAAAACACGTCATTGGCATCGACACTTTGCTTGTTGGCCATAAAATCGTTTAGTGTGACGCATAAATATAACGTCGAGTATCTGTTCCTTAATCGTAGAGGTTTGCTCTGGCATCCGAGTCAAAATTCAAAATAATTGACTAAAACTAGTGTAAAAACGCTTATTTACTGGTCGGTTAAGCATTTCTTGGCCGTAAAGTAAACTATTATCGTACAATTACCCGAACTAACAATATTTCTTTAACCGAAGTAAATCTCATCGAAATTAATTTGGATAATTCTGTTTGGCTCTATTGAGTGCATTCGAAACATCCCGTTACACGGCCGATTACACGGTGCAATTTAAGAGTGAGAGCGCTGTCTCTACGTAATATGTTACTGTGCGGTGTGCCCAGAAAGTCCTATTCGAATTAAATATTAACTACTTACTTGTTAGTTTTGTCTAGCGATCGTATAGTAGAAATTCGGATGGAAAAGTATTCGAGACTCTAAATTTGATATACGATATTTCGTATATTTTTCCTATAAATTCGTATTTGCTGTTTATCCCTTTTGATATAATCGAAAGTAGAGAGAGGGGGAAAAGTTGGATTAATTCAATTCAGGAACATTATAGAGAGGGGGCGTTCATTTCGACTGTCAGTCGTTCGTCTTAGCACGCTAGTACTAGGTTTAACATTCAGAATTTCGTCGATTAATTAATTAATTAATAGTATTTACGCACTTTTCAGAAACATCGGTTTATAGAGAACCCCAATCGCCGGCCAGTAATCACATTAACGGAAATGGAGGTAAGTTTTCACCATTAATAGGTTTCGCGTAATAGGCGACTGCGATTTGCCACGCCGCCAGAGTAGGGAGTGGCGTTTAGGACGGAAAAGCGGCGATAAAACGCTACTATTGATATATAATATCGCCGCCATCCTTCGGCGATACTCGCGAGTTGCCACAGCTACTAAACGGAAAGAACCGTGGATGGCCGGAAAAGACATTTGAGACGTAAGACATTAATTATAGTAAGCAGNACGAAACGATTACTCTTCTTCCGTGGTCTTTCCGTGTCGCGTGTACTCACGTGCGAAAAATACCAAACAAATGGAACGCGCGCCATCTGTCGGTCGTAAATGTAAACAGCTTCAGTAGGTTGGCCACGTGACAATAGTCGCAAATGGTGCCGACCAGGATTGTTTTGTTATATCGATTAAACTTTCTAAGTTTGCCTACCATCTTATGGCAAATAAAGGAGCTCAAAAACGAAGGATTCGGATAGGAAAAATATAAATTTTTGAAAGTTAGGAATATCGAATAGTTTCGTACCCGAATTACGATGACGCCATTCCTAATACTTTACGCAGTAAGTACCGTACGTCTATTTGGCATTAATATTTAAATCGGATAGTAATATAGCGTATAAACCAAATATATTAGCGTATTAGTGTATAAATAAAGCTTTTTAACCTGGCCCACCGCCATAGTCCGAATGCTATCGTCCCACGCGATTTTCACGACGACATTGCTAAACCGGCAAAAGTGACGTCATTTTGCCGTTTCGTCGTCCGTTTCCGCACGCGAGTACCAGGCTTTACGAATTTATCCTACCGTTTGTACCACGTTACGATCTTTCCGAAACTGGTAAAGTCACCGGTGGGATAGGTATTTTTTGCCCAGACGTTCCCACTCTATTATATTATTTCAAGTTTATTATTGCGCGTAAAAAACAAATAAATTTCGCTATTAGTTACGGAAAATTAAAAATATTTCGGACAAGGATATAAATTCGATTATGTATATTGATAAATTTTCATACTTGGTTAAATATTTTAAGGTTACAAGAAGTTTTTTTTTTCATTTTAATTGACTACAACGTTCTTTATTTTAATAACAAATTAAAATATTTCGGGTGTTTTGTCTGGCAGATCGACTCTCTCGACACAATCCGACCGTCGAGTTCGTCCGTAAATACTAGTCGTATATTTTAGGCTTAATTTTTTTACGTAAATTCCGTCGTATTTCCCATTAAACGAATCCAAATGCTTTTTACATCTTATAGAAACGTAAAAACGATAAATAAGGCGTTTTCTTTTTGTAACTTTTTACAAAAAATGCCGGAACGACAGACGTTTCCTCCCTGGGCTACATCGAATGTACCGTACAACTCCGGTGGTCTCTAGTAGCCACGGGAAAGCCGGTGGGCAAATCTGCCCGAGTGACGTATCCGTAACCTCATCCGCCATCCGACTATACCGATGACGTACTAAATTATAATCAAATCCGCATCTACGTTAAGAACGCCTGTTAGAAATAGGCAAAATCTTTCCGTAAGCTTCAACGTAACCTTTATTTATTAATCGCCTGGCAGATTTAGCGGCCGTCTGCAAGATGCTCGAATCCACGGCTGCCACCCGTAAATGCAATTTTCATTGTATTGTATTTACACGCTTTATTTGTGGTTTTGGCATTTCCGGGCGTTATTTTGACCTTAAATTATGCGTATTTGCCGTCTTAAGTTTACGGAAACGGGTATAGTTTAGGATCTGCCAACGGATTAATCGGCCTTCCCGTTATTTGTAACCAGAAAAAACGACCCCGGAACGAATTAAATTCCAAGTAATGGGCACCGCTGTAACGGTAAGCGTTTAAGAATAGTCGTTTTGAGTTAATTTAAAACTTTTCCAACTATGCCTTTTAATTTAAGTACATCTTCTGTTATTTTTTTAATGGTAATTTTTCCACAATTCGTTACGGTTATGTTCGAATACGGCTTTGGGGTTTTTTCCACCTCGCACTTTGACCGACAAAATACGACTTACCCGTAACGTTTCATCCGCGGGTTGGGAAAAATTCCAATTTCCATTTTGAATTTTTCCGCGGGTGGGTTTTCTCCTTTGCCACCAAACGACGCGCGCCACAGACCAAGGCGAAAGTACCAAAAAGTCGTTACGGTAACGTTTGTTGCCAATCGCGTAAGTCGGGAAGGAGCAAGAATGGGAGGGATGGGGCTACCGACGTAGGCCAGGGAGTCGGAGCTCCCAGTAGTTTGTGGAGTGTATTTAGATAAAAACGGAAGGAAATGTCGTTCAGTACGTCGTATATTGGGCAGACTAACTCCGTCTCTAATTATTTATAAGGAGCGATGGGCTTTTCGCGTCGGTAATGTTTTTACTTATTACCTTCCCGGCCNACGAAACGATTACTCTTCTTCCGTGGTCTTTCCGTGTCGCGTGTACTCACGTGCGAAAAATACCAAACAAATGGAACGCGCGCCATCTGTCGGTCGTAAATGTAAACAGCTTCAGTAGGTTGGCCACGTGACAATAGTCGCAAATGGTGCCGACCAGGATTGTTTTGTTATATCGATTAAACTTTCTAAGTTTGCCTACCATCTTATGGCAAATAAAGGAGCTCAAAAACGAAGGATTCGGATAGGAAAAATATAAATTTTTGAAAGTTAGGAATATCGAATAGTTTCGTACCCGAATTACGATGACGCCATTCCTAATACTTTACGCAGTAAGTACCGTACGTCTATTTGGCATTAATATTTAAATCGGATAGTAATATAGCGTATAAACCAAATATATTAGCGTATTAGTGTATAAATAAAGCTTTTTAACCTGGCCCACCGCCATAGTCCGAATGCTATCGTCCCACGCGATTTTCACGACGACATTGCTAAACCGGCAAAAGTGACGTCATTTTGCCGTTTCGTCGTCCGTTTCCGCACGCGAGTACCAGGCTTTACGAATTTATCCTACCGTTTGTACCACGTTACGATCTTTCCGAAACTGGTAAAGTCACCGGTGGGATAGGTATTTTTTGCCCAGACGTTCCCACTCTATTATATTATTTCAAGTTTATTATTGCGCGTAAAAAACAAATAAATTTCGCTATTAGTTACGGAAAATTAAAAATATTTCGGACAAGGATATAAATTCGATTATGTATATTGATAAATTTTCATACTTGGTTAAATATTTTAAGGTTACAAGAAGTTTTTTTTTTCATTTTAATTGACTACAACGTTCTTTATTTTAATAACAAATTAAAATATTTCGGGTGTTTTGTCTGGCAGATCGACTCTCTCGACACAATCCGACCGTCGAGTTCGTCCGTAAATACTAGTCGTATATTTTAGGCTTAATTTTTTTACGTAAATTCCGTCGTATTTCCCATTAAACGAATCCAAATGCTTTTTACATCTTATAGAAACGTAAAAACGATAAATAAGGCGTTTTCTTTTTGTAACTTTTTACAAAAAATGCCGGAACGACAGACGTTTCCTCCCTGGGCTACATCGAATGTACCGTACAACTCCGGTGGTCTCTAGTAGCCACGGGAAAGCCGGTGGGCAAATCTGCCCGAGTGACGTATCCGTAACCTCATCCGCCATCCGACTATACCGATGACGTACTAAATTATAATCAAATCCGCATCTACGTTAAGAACGCCTGTTAGAAATAGGCAAAATCTTTCCGTAAGCTTCAACGTAACCTTTATTTATTAATCGCCTGGCAGATTTAGCGGCCGTCTGCAAGATGCTCGAATCCACGGCTGCCACCCGTAAATGCAATTTTCATTGTATTGTATTTACACGCTTTATTTGTGGTTTTGGCATTTCCGGGCGTTATTTTGACCTTAAATTATGCGTATTTGCCGTCTTAAGTTTACGGAAACGGGTATAGTTTAGGATCTGCCAACGGATTAATCGGCCTTCCCGTTATTTGTAACCAGAAAAAACGACCCCGGAACGAATTAAATTCCAAGTAATGGGCACCGCTGTAACGGTAAGCGTTTAAGAATAGTCGTTTTGAGTTAATTTAAAACTTTTCCAACTATGCCTTTTAATTTAAGTACATCTTCTGTTATTTTTTTAATGGTAATTTTTCCACAATTCGTTACGGTTATGTTCGAATACGGCTTTGGGGTTTTTTCCACCTCGCACTTTGACCGACAAAATACGACTTACCCGTAACGTTTCATCCGCGGGTTGGGAAAAATTCCAATTTCCATTTTGAATTTTTCCGCGGGTGGGTTTTCTCCTTTGCCACCAAACGACGCGCGCCACAGACCAAGGCGAAAGTACCAAAAAGTCGTTACGGTAACGTTTGTTGCCAATCGCGTAAGTCGGGAAGGAGCAAGAATGGGAGGGATGGGGCTACCGACGTAGGCCAGGGAGTCGGAGCTCCCAGTAGTTTGTGGAGTGTATTTAGATAAAAACGGAAGGAAATGTCGTTCAGTACGTCGTATATTGGGCAGACTAACTCCGTCTCTAATTATTTATAAGGAGCGATGGGCTTTTCGCGTCGGTAATGTTTTTACTTATTACCTTCCCGGCCGTTATATATAACGGCCGGGAAAGTAGGGTAGTCATTTTTGATCGATGGAGAAAAATTTTTACATTTTCGGACCGGCGGGCCTAGAAACGCGGAGAAATGCAGAAAAGATAACAAAATTCGGGCCGTTTTGTGAGTATGGAGGGACGTTGGCCAGGGGGCACGATTTCGTTCAACCTTTTCCAAGTTGGATAACTTCCGCGTTTTTGTGCAAAACTTGCGAAATTTTGCGGGGAGGTCGGCGTATTAGGGGATGGACGTCATTAAATTTCGGACGACGAAGGTCGAGGGTCGATGGGAGTCGAACCGGAGGAGGATTTTACTGGTTATCGGCATTTATAATTCTTTTTAAACGAAAGTCGTCTGTCGAAGCCGCGACGACTTTATTCCGAATTGTTATAACCAGTTTATAATAATCGATAGTGTAAGATTTTGGTAAACGCGGCAACGATGGCGACACGGGCAATTTTAAATGTTTCGACGTCGGTGGTACTGTACTAATTGTATTAACGTCGACAGTGGCGCCCCGCGTGCAGACGGAGGAGGAGGAGAAGACGGCCGAGCCGGGATCGGAGGTGGTACTGGAGTGTGCGGCTAGCGGCGTTCCGGCTCCCCGCGTTTCTTGGACGAAAGACGGACGCCCGGTGGACGGGGCCGACGGCGTGATCCGGGTGAGGGCCGACGGTTCCCTGCATCTGTCTTCGGTGGCGGCGGCCGACGCCGGCAACTACTCGTGTCTGGCGGAAAATCCGGCGGGTCGGGCCGGCCGATGGGTGGTCCTCAGGGTGGCCGGTAAGTAAGGGTCCGGGGCGGGAGCTTACCCCGTCCCACACCCACTCATTCGCTTCTCTTTGCAGAGCCTCTGACGGTGGAAGTTCGCAGCGACAGAAGAAACTATCGGCCGGGCGCCACCGTGCGGTTGGACTGCGCGGTGAAGGGCAGCCACCGGAACGGGGTGCGCTGGTATTTCGGAAACAGCAGTGCGCCGGCGGAAAGCGACGAGAAAGTGCGAGTGTGGCCCAATGGCACGCTGACGGTAGAGGAGGCGGAAATTCGACACGGAGGAAGATACGTGTGCCTGGTGGAGGGTGCCCGCGGCCCGGTCTCGGCTTCCTTGGAAATACAAATATCCGGTAGGTTTTTTAAACTTTCGATTACGGTTTGTAAGTTTTTAAATTTAAAAGACACCGCGCGCCAGGGTCAATTTCCTCGGCGCTAATCGTATTAATACGGCGGCCGGTCGTAGTACCACGTTTTTCGTTTACCTGGACTCCCGGAACGGACGCTTTACCAGAATTGGAGAAAGTGCGCGGTAAAGAAAATTTGATATTTTTCGAAATTGCGGTTTTAATTTTCGACTCGTCGGTAGAATTTTATTATCCCGGAAACAGTCGATAAAAGCTATTTCCGCGATTACCTCGTGGCAAATTTTCACCTTTCATTTATCCGGCGTTAAGACCTAATGATACCAAAGTCATAAAATTACAGTTCCGGACCAAGGAAAAAATTTGCTGTTTTTTTTACCGGGTACCGTGGCCTATTTCGTTACTCCGCGCCCCGATAACAATCCGCAGCCGACGTGCCGAGACTCGTTTTACATTTAGGGAATAAACGACCGAAGATAGACAGGAGTCTTTTCTGCGCAAAACGTCAGCGGATGGACATCTTTCGAAAGCCGCCGCGCGGCAGATGGGTTTTCCGCCCGTCCGAACCCTTGCCAAAGTAATTTTATAAAGACGCGGACCGAGTTTATTAATCCTCGCCGTGTTTTCCGTAATTTGGAAGAGCATTAAGTTACCGCCAGAGTCGATAGTAAGTGCCACGAATGTAAGAAAATAAGTTAGCGCGCCTGCGGCCGCATTTTCGGACTTCCGGCGTAGAACGTCGCCGTTTAGCCTCTTCGGACCCGACCGAAATAATTATTTTGTCGGGCCGGTGGACCGCCTACAAAGGGGAAGAAAATCGCGCCGAAGAACGAGACCGGAACGGCGTGGCGCGACATTACGCTTCTTTATTCGCTTTCCTCGCCCGCTCTAACTTAAAATGTAACTTCGGGAATATCTGTTAATTGTGGCTCCTTTCGTCTTTGGTATCCTGCCACCCAGTGGTGATATTCAGCGGGTTCGCACAGGTTCGCAAAGTTTTACGAACCCGTTGTTAAACAGACGTAACATTTCTCAGTGATTTTGTTTCTTTTAAAAAATATATTAAAATATACGTATTATACTCTGTAACTACTAAACTAGAGCCTTATAGCCCGTTCGCCTTGGTGCAACCTCCATCGACCGTTTCAATCTCGACTAAAACGAGGTTCAATCGCGATCGACTCAAGAGTTCGTTCAGTACGTCGTATATTGGGCAGACTAACTGCGTCTCTAATTATTTATAAGGAGCGATGGGCTTTTCGCGTCGGTAATGTTTTTACTTATTACCTTCCCGGCCGTTATATATAACGGCCGGGAAAGTAGGGTAGTCATNCGTTTAGGACGGAAAAGCGGCGATAAAACGCTACTATTGATATATAATATCGCCGCCATCCTTCGGCGATACTCGCGAGTTGCCACAGCTACTAAACGGAAAGAACCGTGGATGGCCGGAAAAGACATTTGAGACGTAAGACATTAATTAATGTAAGCAGTTTTATATTCCCGTAGAACTTCTGCCGGAGAGGACGACGAAATTCGTCTAGTGTAATACGTGAAATTGTTCGTTTTGTTAGCTACGGCCACGCGACTTGGGCGATCTGCCTTCCGGGAGGTCTTTTAAGGGTAACTGGTCCCTATTTAGGAATAAGACGCGGAGAAAATCCGGAAAACTTCACGTGGTCAAGCGCCAACCCGCGTACCAATGTTCGGAGACGGGAACCACTCGGCAACTGGTAGGCCAGACGAAATAGTAAATCTCGACGTTCGGTATAGTTTTATTAAACGGGCATATAAGGTATAGTCGTTATTTCTCCGTGCGAAGACTTTCGTTTTCTTCGTTTTCTCATCTGGCGCTTGGTGGCCACGATAACTCCTTAATACCGAAGTAGGAATGAGATTTTACCAGAACGAGACCTAGTTTAGCGCACGGTCACCGTCGTCACATCCGGTGGGTTCCGATATAGGCCGGAACGAGTTTTCCGACTAAATTTTCGTCGTTCCGCGATAACGGCGGGAAGTGGCGATACGTTTTCGACAGTACCGAAACAATAACGCGATTACGGGAAATTTCTCTCTCCCGGCAAACTGCCTGCAATTTTAACCTAAGCACTAACCACCGGGACGAAAGCTAACTCTAAAACGTTCGTTTCTAACACTAAGAGAATTGAAGGAAGACGGCCGGCGACGAATAAAATAATGGCACGGAATGGCGGCGACGCGTAATAGCTAATTATCGTACCGATTCGATCGGCCGTTACCGTTTTTGTACCCATGGTCTTCCGGTCGATATGCGTGTCCTTTTTTTCTCCGCTTTTGACCCTGCGACGGCCGCCACTCCGATCGAGGACCGAAAGTTTTCGAGGGTGGCAAAAATTTGGAAAAACTAAGGTTTACGCGTACGAAATATAAAGAAAGGAATGCGTTACATATACGAGGGCTGTTTTTTTTCAAGTTCCAATGGTCCATAAAAAAAGACAAGTTTAAATAACAAAACGAATTTATTACCAAAAGTTAGGTACAAACACGGTTACTTTTCGACATAATCACCGTGAAGATTGAGGCATTTGTCATATCTTTGTATGTATCCATGTTATGTATCCAAAAACAGCCTACGCATATTAATGATTATTTATTAATGTCGATACGTTGAAACTGTACGAAAAAACGAAAATTTTAGATTTTAGTTTATACCGATTCGGAGGTTTGTTTTGCACGTTATGAGGGAGAGTAGTTAAAACTACTCGAAAAAAAATACATTTTGATATAGCGGAACTTAGTTAATATTTCTACGGATAGAGTGTGACGGACGAAGACGGGCGTACGATAATTCGAAGGGAAGATGCGATAATATTCGCCCGTTAGATCGGTAACTCCGCGGGCCGAGCTGGTGGGTATTGGTGGGTTTTATCGGACGGAAGATAATCGACTCTGCCGGAAAGGCCGTCTTCCTACTAATTTTACAATAACGATTAACAAATGTATGTCGTCTGGCCGCTAATCACCGCGTCGGAGCCGTAAAATTACAAAATAACTTACTAACGACTAACCTCCGCTCGTCCGGATCCGGCGTTTCTTTGCCACGCGCCACCTAGATTTTTCGGCGGATTTAAAGCACCCGGGCCCACTTCCGCCGTGCGGAAGGAGGCTCGGGCGTAATTTGAAATTTTGTTTCCGGAAAGGAAAAAGAGACTTTCGGGACGAATCCGGACGAACGAGACGCGACGGCTCGAGCTTTTGTTGTTTTTTGTAGCATGAATTTGTATTTTGCCACTCGTTAACGCAGATGTGTGTCAGCTGCCCGTGGAAACGGGACCTTGCAGCGAAGTGCACAGTCGTTGGTTCTACGATTCCGAGAGTCAAAATTGCTTGCCTTTCTCCTACGGAGGCTGCAAGGGCAACAAAAATAGATTCAAGACTTACGAACTCTGCATGCGCTTTTGTAGCGGCGTACGATGTAAGTTGATGCTTTTACTACCAAATTAATAATAATAATAATAATAATAATCCCGGTCGGATTAAATGTCCGCGCGCCGTCCCGCCCTGCCCATCCCGGTAACCCGTCTCGTTTTGTCCAGCCGCTCCCAGAGACGAAGCCGCCACGCAGACTCGTCCGGGAATTCCGGTGGAGGTGGTGGATGCCCTGACCTGTCCTCCGTCCGCCGGGTGCGAAGAGCTGCAGTGTCCCTACGGCGTGGACAGGATAGACGACGACCGCGGATGCCGGATCTGCAGATGCACCAATCCCTGCAGGGTGAGTTCCTCTCCTTCCTTCTCTCCCCCTTTTCCGCCCTCCTCCTCAATCTACCTCTTTTCTCCGCAGGATCACCGCTGCCCGCCGGACACCCAGTGCGTGGTGGAAGTGGACGGTGCCCGAGACCCTCCAGCTCCCGAGGCCACCTGTCGTCCCAGTAAGTGCCGGCGCCCCTAATTGAGGGCACCCCTGCCACCCGAGTAACGTCCGACTTTTCCTTTGCAGCCAGCAAGCCGGGTCGGTGTCCCGGGCCGGAGGAAGTGGGTCGCGGTTCCGAGTGCGTGGACAGATGCCACAACGATGCCTACTGTCGGGGAGACCAGAAGTGCTGCAGCGACGGATGCGCCCTCCGGTGCGTCGATCCGCTCTTTTCCTCCACCTCGGGTAAGATCCCGCCGAAAATTGTAATTACGCGTCCGAAAGCCCGAAGTTCCCACTAATGCGGATTTCTTTTGCAGTGGTCACGGAAGCGGCCACCACGGCGGCCTCAACCCCGCCCCCCGCAGGTAAGTTTTTTCCGGTTTCCGTGCCGAAATGCAAATGACGTCGGCCGGTCGGAAAAGTGGGGAGTGCGTCCGAGACCGGTATTCTTTGCTTTTAATCGTAACGTAGGAAACTGTAACGAAGGAGAAAGTGGAAAGCGGTTAATCGGCCAACGTCTCTTAAAGGGACGATTTTAAAGATGGGGCGAGTGACTAACGCCGCCCCATCTTTAAAATCGTCTTTGGGTGACTCGGCGTTTCGTCTTCTCGGTTAAGCCTGGAACTCACGCGGAAACGGATGACGAAACGATTACTCTTCTTCCGTGGTCTTTCCGTGTCGCGTGTACTCACGTGCGAAAAATACCAAACAAATGGAACGCGCGCCATCTGTCGGTCGTAAATGTAAACAGCTTCAGTAGGTTGGCCACGTGACAATAGTCGCAAATGGTGCCGACCAGGATTGTTTTGTTATATCGATTAAACTTTCTAAGTTTGCCTACCATCTTATGGCAAATAAAGGAGCTCAAAAACGAAGGATTCGGATAGGAAAAATATAAATTTTTGAAAGTTAGGAATATCGAATAGTTTCGTACCCGAATTACGATGACGCCATTCCTAATACTTTACGCAGTAAGTACCGTACGTCTATTTGGCATTAATATTTAAATCGGATAGTAATATAGCGTATAAACCAAATATATTAGCGTATTAGTGTATAAATAAAGCTTTTTAACCTGGCCCACCGCCATAGTCCGAATGCTATCGTCCCACGCGATTTTCACGACGACATTGCTAAACCGGCAAAAGTGACGTCATTTTGCCGTTTCGTCGTCCGTTTCCGCACGCGAGTACCAGGCTTTACGAATTTATCCTACCGTTTGTACCACGTTACGATCTTTCCGAAACTGGTAAAGTCACCGGTGGGATAGGTATTTTTTGCCCAGACGTTCCCACTCTATTATATTATTTCAAGTTTATTATTGCGCGTAAAAAACAAATAAATTTCGCTATTAGTTACGGAAAATTAAAAATATTTCGGACAAGGATATATAAATTCGATTATGTATATTGATAAATTTTCATACGTGGTTAAATATTTTAAGGTTACAAGAAGTTTTTTTTTTTCATTTTAATTGACTACAACGTTCTTTATTTTAATAACAAATTAAAATATTTCGGGTGTTTTGTCTGGCAGATCGACTCTCTCGACACAATCCGACCGTCGAGTTCGTCCGTAAATACTAGTCGTATATTTTAGGCTTAATTTTTTTACGTAAATTCCGTCGTATTTCCCATTAAACGAATCCAAATGCTTTTTACATCTTATAGAAACGTAAAAACGATAAATAAGGCGTTTTCTTTTTGTAACTTTTTACAAAAAATGCCGGAACGACAGACGTTTCCTCCCTGGGCTACATCGAATGTACCGTACAACTCCGGTGGTCTCTAGTAGCCACGGGAAAGCCGGTGGGCAAATCTGCCCGAGTGACGTATCCGTAACCTCATCCGCCATCCGACTATACCGATGACGTACTAAATTATAATCAAATCCGCATCTACGTTAAGAACGCCTGTTAGAAATAGGCAAAATCTTTCCGTAAGCTTCAACGTAACCTTTATTTATTAATCGCCTGGCAGATTTAGCGGCCGTCTGCAAGATGCTCGAATCCACGGCTGCCACCCGTAAATGCAATTTTCATTGTATTGTATTTACACGCTTTATTTGTGGTTTTGGCATTTCCGGGCGTTATTTTGACCTTAAATTATGCGTATTTGCCGTCTTAAGTTTACGGAAACGGGTATAGTTTAGGATCTGCCAACGGATTAATCGGCCTTCCCGTTATTTGTAACCAGAAAAAACGACCCCGGAACGAATTAAATTCCAAGTAATGGGCACCGCTGTAACGGTAAGCGTTTAAGAATAGTCGTTTTGAGTTAATTTAAAACTTTTCCAACTATGCCTTTTAATTTAAGTACATCTTCTGTTATTTTTTTAATGGTAATTTTTCCACAATTCGTTACGGTTACGTTCGAATACGGCTTTGGGGTTTTTTCCACCTCGCAGTTTGACCGACAAAATACGACTTACCCGTAACGTTTCATCCGCGGGTTGGGAAAAATTCCAATTTCCATTTTGAATTTTTCCGCGGGTGGGTTTTCTCCTTTGCCACCAAACGACGCGCGCCACAGACCAAGGCGAAAGTACCAAAAAGTCGTTACGGTAACGTTTGTTGCCAATCGCGTAAGTCGGGAAGGAGCAAGAATGGGAGGGATGGGGCTACCGACGTAGGCCAGGGAGACGGAGCTCCCAGTAGTTTGTGGAGTGTATTTAGATAAAAACGGAAGGAAATGTCGTTCAGTACGTCGTATATTGGGCAGACTAACTCCGTCTCTAATTATTTATAAGGAGCGATGGGCTTTTCGCGTCGGTAATGTTTTTACTTATTACCTTCCCGGCCGTTATATATAACGGCCGGGAAAGTAGGGTAGTCATTTTTGATCGATGGAGAAAAATTTTTACATTTTCGGACCGGCGGGCCTAGAAACGCGGAGAAATGCAGAAAAGATAACAAAATTCGGGCCGTTTTGTGAGTATGGAGGGACGTTGGCCAGGGGGCACGATTTCGTTCAACCTTTTCCAAGTTGGATAACTTCCGCGTTTTTGTGCAAAACTTGCGAAATTTTGCGGGGAGGTCGGCGTATTAGGGGGTGGACGTCATTAAATTTCGGACGACGAAGGTCGAGGGTCGATGGGAGTCGAACCGGAGGAGGATTTTACCGGTTATCGGCATTTATAATTCTTTTTAAACGAAAGTCGTCTGTCGAAGCCGCGACGACTTTATTCCGAATTGTTATAACCAGTTTATAATAATCGATAGTGTAAGATTTTGGTAAACGCGGCAACGATGGCGACACGGGCAATTTTAAATGTTTCGACGTCGGTGGTACTGTACTAATTGTATTAACGTCGACAGTGGCGCCCCGCGTGCAGACGGAGGAGGAGGAGAAGACGGCCGAGCCGGGATCGGAGGTGGTACTGGAGTGTGCGGCTAGCGGCGTTCCGGCTCCCCGCGTTTCTTGGACGAAAGACGGACGCCCGGTGGACGGGGCCGACGGCGTGATCCGGGTGAGGGCCGACGGTTCCCTGCATCTGTCTTCGGTGGCGGCGGCCGACGCCGGCAACTACTCGTGTCTGGCGGAAAATCCGGCGGGTCGGGCCGGCCGATGGGTGGTCCTCAGGGTGGCCGGTAAGTAAGGGTCCGGGGCGGGAGCTTACCCCGTCCCACACCCACTCATTCGCTTCTCTTTGCAGAGCCTCTGACGGTGGAAGTTCGCAGCGACAGAAGAAACTATCGGCCGGGCGCCACCGTGCGGTTGGACTGCGCGGTGAAGGGCAGCCACCGGAACGGGGTGCGCTGGTATTTCGGAAACAGCAGTGCGCCGGCGGAAAGCGACGAGAAAGTGCGAGTGTGGCCCAATGGCACGCTGACGGTAGAGGAGGCGGAAATTCGACACGGAGGAAGATACGTGTGCCTGGTGGAGGGTGCCCGCGGCCCGGTCTCGGCTTCCTTGGAAATACAAATATCCGGTAGGTTTTTTAAACTTTCGATTACGGTTTGTAAGTTTTTAAATTTAAAAGACACCGCGCGCCAGGGTCAATTTCCTCGGCGCTAATCGTATTAATACGGCGGCCGGTCGTAGTACCACGTTTTTCGTTTACCTGGACTCCCGGAACGGACGCTTTACCAGAATTGGAGAAAGTGCGCGGTAAAGAAAATTTGATATTTTTCGAAATTGCGGTTTTAATTTTCGACTCGTCGGTAGAATTTTATTATCCCGGAAACAGTCGATAAAAGCTATTTCCGCGATTACCTCGTGGCAAATTTTCACCTTTGATTTATCCGGCGTTAAGACCTAATGATACCAAAGTCATAAAATTACAGTTCCGGACCAAGGAAAAAATTTGCTGTTTTTTTTACCGGGTACCGTGGCCTATTTCGTTACTCCGCGCCCCGATAACAATCCGCAGCCGACGTGCCGAGACTCGTTTTACATTTAGGGAATAAACGACCGAAGATAGACAGGAGTCTTTTCTGCGCAAAACGTCAGCGGATGGACATCTTTCGAAAGCCGCCGCGCGGCAGATGGGTTTTCCGCCCGTCCGAACCCTTGCCAAAGTAATTTTATAAAGACGCGGACCGAGTTTATTAATCCTCGCCGTGTTTTCCGTAATTTGGAAGAGCATTAAGTTACCGCCAGAGTCGATAGTAAGTGCCACGAATGTAAGAAAATAAGTTAGCGCGCCTGCGGCCGCATTTTCGGACTTCCGGCGTAGAACGTCGCCGTTTAGCCTCTTCGGACCCGACCGAAATAATTATTTTGTCGGGCCGGTGGACCGCCTACAAAGGGGAAGAAAATCGCGCCGAAGAACGAGACCGGAACGGCGTGGCGCGACATTACGCTTCTTTATTCGCTTTCCTCGCCCGCTCTAACTTAAAATGTAACTTCGGGAATATCTGTTAATTGTGGCTCCTTTCGTCTTTGGTATCCTGCCACCCAGTGGTGATATTCAGCGGGTTCGCAAAGTTTTACGAACCCGTTGTTAAACAGACGTAACATTTCTCAGTGATTTTGTTTCTTTTAAAAAATATATTAAAATATACGTATTATACTCTGTAACTACTAAACTAGAGCCTTATAGCCCGTTCGCCTTGGTGCAACCTCCATCGACCGTTTCAATCTCGACTAAAACGAGGTTCAATCGCGATCGACTCAAGAGTTCTTGAAACTAGGTCCAGTCATACGAGAGATCCCATGTGTGCCAGAAAATACAAGATGGCTGTGGAACACGTGTCGTGCTATCGACAGCGAAATAAAAAAGATATTGTATTTCGAGAGACGATGACATCTGTCTATTATTATAATAATACCTAACGATAAAATAAATGATTTAGAAAAGTTTTTCTTGTTTAACTGCTTTCCCTATGACTTTTTCTGATTAAAAAAAAGCCAATTTTTATGTTTATAAAATATTTTGAATGAAAAATATTAAAATATGTACAAAATAAACCATTTTGAACACACACACACACACACACATATATATATATATATTTTATAAATAGTAAAAATAGTTCTGGCATAAACAATGTTAAACTTTAACTGACTTAATTTTGCGAACGCATCTTTTTTATTTATATGAATATCTTAAGATCAGTTTTTGCTCTAATGTTGCTAATGCACCATCTGAGCAAAAGAAAAATTGTTAAGGAAAAATTTTCTGTTAGCGAACCGTTTGTTAAATATTTCGAATATCACCACTGCTGCCACCGATAATTCCATTAACTGGAAAGAACACACTAATCCGTTGCTCTTCTTCAAGTACTTCCAAAGAACTTTAAAACTCTCCCTTTCTCTACTACTTTGCAGACTAATGTCGGGTGATGTAACATCGCATAGAAAATGAATAAGAGCGTATTCTCCGAAGAAAACCCTGCCCCAAAAAGAAAAAAGCACACTTCGAAGTGTTCTCTTACGCGTTCCTCAAATAAATTTAATAGACATTTATTTACATTTTTAAGGTTTTCGGGATTATGATCGGCACTCGTAAATCACCACGCCGAATTTAGTATAATTTGTTTCTAAAATTCCCCGTAAAAAAACTTATGCCTCTTTATCTGTAACTTGAGAAATATATAGGCCCTATAGGAACGCGTTATTTGTGTGGCGGAAGTACTTTTTAGACAGGACGTGCGCTATAGAATATTTATTACTGTCTGAAATATAAATTCGTGTCGAAAAATAATGCATGGAAATTTGTGGGGCGTATGGCGGGTGGTTCCGACCTTTGTATTAGTAAAGAAAAACATCGAAAGAGAAAATCAAACACGAATGTAGTTTAAATTAGAACCGATCAAAAGTCACTGGTAATAAATATATTTGTGAGAGTTAGAAACGTTTAATTTTAGCAGTATATTGGATTAATTGCCGTTAATCTCTCTTTCAGACGTCGACGTCCCCGAAGATTGCACGGACAAGCCGTATTTCGCTAATTGTGATTTGATAGTGAAAGCCAATTACTGCGTTAATCAATACTATGCAAAATTCTGCTGTCGGTCTTGCACCGTGGCCGGTCAACTGTCACACTCTTCGCAGAAACATTCGTAACCGAAAGACTGTATGAAACAGAGGACTTTTAAGTGTTTTCATTTGCTTCCCGTATCGACAGAGTCGGAACAATAGTGTTATGAACGTGACGACGACAGAACTTACCGCTACAACTGACGCGCGACGGTGCTTCCGTGTGACGTAACTGCGCCAAATTTAGACAAACGTTTCGCCACATCCTATTTCTCCAGAAAAATATGGGAGCAGAGTCTCGTTAGTGCCAAAATATATCTCTGCCGTCAATCTCACTTTGTATACAAAACGTTTCCTTTTTTCTTGTAAATCGTTATTTTTAAGGAGACACGCGACTGTTATACAGTTTTCGTAGTAGAGAATCTCCGAATCCACAGTGTAAATGTGACAAAAAGGTGGATGTCTTCCTCTGTACCTTTGCTCGATCGTCTGTCTACTTCGTCTTGGATCAGACCTCTGCGAGAAATTCGCGAAATCACTGCCAAGATTCGTTCCTCGCTTCATCTGGGTGTTTGTCTTTTTATATCTCGTTTTTACAGTTACTTTGTTCCCATTACCGAGTCAAATAAATTATTTTGTTTGGAAACATCTTTATTCACTGCATTAAATCACGTGCCAAGTAAAAACAAATGCGTACAGAAAACTTTAGAAAAGAAAAGACTGGATGGTGCACGACTGCCGACCGGTAAACCACACTACGTTGTCGGTTTGCGTTTATTCGTATAAAACCGACGCGTGTAAAATAACTTAACATGGAAGTTACCGGATGTTAAGGTTACGACGAAAAGGATTAGGATTAGGATTAGAATTAAACGGGTTAGAAGAAACATACGTCGGCGACTATTTTGCTAACGAGTAAAAAAGAGTCCGGGACTAAACGGGAAGAACTTCGGTGCTCCGGAGGGCAGTGAAACGATGGCGCGCATCGATTATATCCTAAGTATTTCCTCAGTTTTAGGCCAAGGACGTATCTCTTACCGATCACAATTAGAAGTTTCTTTCCGTAGAACGAATAGATAGAATCTGCCAGAGTCGTCTGGTGGAATGTCGACTGTACAATCGTCGGTCAGTATAGGATGTCGTAATGGCCGGGTCTGTATAACAAGTGAATTCTCGGCTCCTTCTTCTCCGGAAAGTCGTGCGCGTTGACTTCCGATCCTTCGCCCCTGTCCATGTACTGGATGCGCACGCCCACATTCAGTGCCAGAGTCAGCGCGATTATGTGGATGTGATCGCTTTCCTTGTACATGGGTTCCACTTCCTGAATAAAAAAATAACACTTCATTAACAATCTCATACGTAAAACACTAAAATTAGTCGCGTGACACTTTCATTAACACCGTTATTAAATACCTGTATGTCGTTTTCGACTTAACCAATACGTGCGCGTTTGTCTTTTGATCGGAGAATTCTCTTATCCCGACAATATCGTCATTGCCGGAAAATTTTCCTTGTGATATTAATTTAATTCGTATACACTAGTGGCTGTATTCGCATTTGACCCGTGCAAAAAATTCTATCGGAAAAATGGGTTAGAGGCGTGGGACTATTTCTACTTGCCAAAATTTTAGAATGCACAGATAGAAATTATGTGCGCTAAAAACAGTCGTTCTGACAAAATGTGACATTAAAAATAGATGGGTGGAGCAAAAACAGATAGATAGCAACACTAATCTATCCTGTTTTTGCACGGCCAAACTGGTAGGGAACCAGGCCCTCTTTATTACTTACTTTGGTTTTATTATAATACATTGCAAGTTTAATAGGTTACTTTTGAGGTGTTTCTGTTACAGATAAACAAGTCTGGAGTGAACAAACTTCATCGCAATATCTAAATATTAATAGTTTCCAAAAAATTTATATAAATGATGGGTAGTGTATACAAAATCATTTAATACTATTCTCCATCCAGTCGTCATCTGCCACGTACGATGAAATTATTACAAAGGTATAGCAAATTGACATTTCACTTTCCCGGCTGTTATGTAAACATAACGAGAGAAAATATCGGAATCGTGTCAAATTTGACCTTCCGAGTTTTTTGCAAATCAACCTCCTGAACCCAGAAAGTCAAAATTTCCGTGCGTGTGTTGGCGTTTACTTCATTTAATATCTCGGGATGGGATGAAGATTAAAAAATTAAGTTTGCTCGGCATCTTGTGTATAAGTCCATTAATGCTATTAAATTTTGGTGGTGAAAGGTGAGGGTGTCTTATCTCGAGAGGGGTAGGACTTAATGAAAATTTTATTCGTTATTGACGTTTGCACTTTTTTTTTTTTTTTATAAAACTCATCCTTACCCTCAAAATTAAGCTTTTTACCATTTTATAGTAGTAAAAGTTATATAAAGTTTTTCGTAAAATCTCATTAGATAGTGCTATAAACAATTTTATTTATTTTGCTTAATAATATGGTTAAAAAATAATAATAAAAACTCAAGAGCAGGGAAGTTCGCAACTCGTTGCGGTTTCTTTTTATTTGGCAAACTGGCAGACCAATCAGTCGTTGTCCATGTTAAAAAGCAAGTAAACTCTTAACTCGGTTTTCTATTGGTTAATAGCAACACACAAGAACTATTTTAGTTTTACAATTTTGTAAAATCGTCGATCGCAAATATAAGAAGCACATATCAAAAGCAACCGTCTGAATAGAGTCACATTATTATGACAATTTCGTACACTAAGCTTCAACCACGTCTCAACCTTTCTTTGTAAGCTTATAGAAGGGTGACAAACCACCTTGCCAGATGTGCACATTGGGTAACAAGACGCGTGTATCACAAAATGGTCGTCTTAATATGACTATTTATTCAGACAGTTGCTTTTTATAATATTTAGTTTTATATTTTCTATTCCAAACTTAAATTTTGTCGAAAGAAACTTCTTAAATAAACTTAGAATGCTCCGCTGGCTACAGTTCAGCTTTACTTCAGTTTTGAAAATAGAGATGAACTGTAACACTCCTTGATTTTGATAACAAGAAACAAATATAAATAACATCTGGTAAGATATGAAACAAAGAAAATTTATAAGACAACTAATTTAATGGAAACAACTAAGAAAAACAACAAAATGTAATATTAATTCAATTCAAACCATCTTATATCATTTGTTTATATTCCTCTGAAATAATTATTTAATTTTCCCACTTTTCGGGCAATACTAAATAATTATAAAAACCTCAAATCACAATTTTTATTCCTATTTTTTCAAAAAAATTACCTGACTATCAGTTCCTGATGTTCCTAAGGCAAAGTATCTACATTGTAACTACACTGGGCAGTCTCACCAATCTATACAAATTACATGATACGTTTTAATTAATAACTATGCAAAAGTGCCATTTTAGTAATTTTAAATTGCATTGTTAAATTCCTTGTGAAAAGTTACATCTATTAAATCTCCGTTTCATCTCCATTGACAGTTTCACTTTAATTTCTATAGCAGACAAACAGCCACACCTTCAGAAATACATATAGTAAAACCAGAGTAAATCAGAATTGCATAGTATCAGATAATTAATTGTACCCAAAAACCTATCCAACACAAGTAAGTCAAAACAGAATGCATTTTTCCAAAGACATTCACAAAAGCTGCATATGAGAACTAATAACTTACCTAGTGTTTCAATACTTTTTCAGCAGTTATTTTTTGAAGTTCTCAGCCTCTTCAGGTATACAAGCAGAAAAAAGAATTTGAAATTTGCCAATTCAAATTTCAAATTTTTTTTCCTGCTCAATATACTAGAAGAGGGCCAATGAAATGATAGAAAATGTTTGTTTTTAAGAAAATACCTGCTGGCAGTAGTATTGAAGCACTAGGTAAATTATTAGAATTTATTTCATGTCTAATTTTGGAAGCTATGTTGTTTTCAAGCAAACTTATCACATTTTAATGTGATCAGTTTGCTTGAACTGAACACACAACAATCAACTGAAATGAACAAAATGAACTGAAACAACAATCATTTGATTATGTAAACTTGAAGATATACACAAAACGAGCAATTATTTAGACATAAAAAATTGCAGCCCAGCATTGTGACAATCATATTTTTAATTTATTTAATTTAAAATTTATGCTTGCCACCTCAAATTAATGGTGGCTTGCCCTGTACATTGTACTTTTCCTTTAACAATAGAGTCGTGTTGGTCATCTATTAACTACTTCCAGGGAAAAAGTCTTGAATTGAAATAATGTAACTTCCAGTTTGCATCAGAAGTTCATATATAGTTAGTTGAGGCCTACTGCCCCTAAGGTTTCAATATCTGGTCTCGAATTTAATATACATAACTCTATTCTTGAGATTAAGGAAAGACATACAGATGAAAAACAGTGGGAATTTATAGTCTACAATTTTTTCAAATTGCAGCCCAACTTGTCATGTTAGCAGCTTTAAAGCATGGGTGGGTTAGTATGTTTGTTACGATGTAATTACAATAGTTGTAATTCCTATAACTAAAAAATAATCCTCTCTCCCTTCAAGTTCAGAAATATCAAAAATCAACTGAATATTGACAAAATTTGGTTATAATGTAATTTCTTCTCAATACTTCTGTCATCATCACAGTCATGTAATATAAGAAATGTGGATTCAATGCTATATACAATACATTAGAGTGACAGAACATTAAAGTAACAATGTATCTTTAAATAAGATAATGTTTCTTATAATTTCCAACACATTTCAGATAATCTTATATGATTAAAATTTGAGAATGTATTATGGCAAGGATTATCTGAACTGAATTTACTGCATTATTATATTATGACATATAATAGTCATCAGACACCAAAATTACAAATAATTTACTTTTTACAATATTGAATTATTCTATTAAATAAATTTTAGAAACTAAGCATATTTATTTTTGGAATAATCTCAATTTCATTACACACAAAACTTATGAAAATATGAATATACCTTTTTAGAAATACTATATTAAAAACACAGTCCAGTTTATAATGAATGTTTTTGACAATGCATATAGTTATAAATAATAAATACTTGCAATAGTCTATATCAGTGATTCCAAAACTGGTCCATAGGCACATTTTTAATGATGCTTTTATTTTATTACTTACAAATAATTTAAATTATTATTTAAAGCTATGTTAAGCTTTAAATTAAAATGTGATACAGTTGTATATTATGTTTTAAAATGTTACATTTTAATGATTTTTTAAAAATGTTGGTTAATTTTATAAAATTTTATAATTTATTTATTCTGTTATTTTAACAAAACTTTTAAAATTAATCCAATCAAAAAACAAATATAAGATGCCTCAGATACTTAGTATTATTATAATTAATGGCTATAAGTTAACATCTGAAAATAAGGGTCCACCAAAATGTGTTTTATAATAATTTTGCAACCTTTCAAAGTTTTGGAACCGCTATTATATATCATTGCATGCCTTCTTATAATGTTAAGACAATTTTTTAAGAAATATAAGTAACTTGTGGCTAATACATTTTTTAAATTCAGAAAAATTGTTTTTTATTAAATTTATGTAAAAGATTTTTTGTTAAATCTAAAAATTTTGCAATTAATTTAATTTAAACTTAAAATTTCATGGAAAATATTTGGCATTTTTTTATAGCCCACAGAATAAATAAATAAAACTTAATGAAACTGATACTCTTCTCTGACTGCACTTAAATAATAACCAAACCTTGACACTAACCTTTAAAAAATGCAGTTTATTTTTTTGAAGGTTAGTGTCGAGGTTTGGTTAATGAAACTGATATTTTATTATCTTGTTTCTTAATTTATTGAATGTTAATTATTTCTAAGGCCAATTCATGCATTTGAGCAGTAAAATTAAGTCAACAAGCATTGATGACTGACTCAATCATCAGCTAAACTAATCTAGCCGATGGCAGACAAAGTTAATTCAAATAATAGCAATTTCGGTGTCTAACAATAAATTTAATTTTATATACAGTAATATGGCTTCTAGCAGTTTTATTCGATTATTTCCCCCAAATTAAAATTCTAATTATTTGGAATCCAGATTTATTGCATGCTATTATTTACTCAATAAATTTATTTTATAGATTCTTACAATCAAATATTAGAAAAATGAAGAAAAACAGATATATAGTATTACATGCAGAAATTATGAATTGACAAAATATATAATTTTTCAACTGAAAAAGGAGAAATAGATTTAAATATTTTTAAAGACTGTCTTTCACTATACACTGGAACCTTGCTTAATGAGCACCTCTCATAACAAGCAAAGCAAATTGTAAAAAAATAACTCACTTAACAAGTGACGAGGAGAGGGGAAGTCCAAGCTTGTGCACATGCTACATGTCTGTGTTTAACACCGGTTCTGCTAGCATCTTAGTGTCACTTCTGATCACACATTTTTCCAAACTTATTACATATAAACATCAACATCCATAGCCCATTATATAATAAAAAACATGCCAAATAATATGCCAAATTCTTGGGCTATGTAAAGGCTATAATTAAATATTAGAAATTACTGTATTTTGATTTTTTTTTTTTTTTTGCAAATTGAATTTGCATTCCAGGTTGGTTCATTCCATGCTAGAAGAAAAGATGAAGATGATTCATGCTCCTTAACAATGTATATTATATAATTTTCTTTGAATAAACGTTATACATAAAATATTTGAGTATTTTCTTCAGCATGGAATGCATTATTGTAGTTTACATTAATTTATATGAGAAAAATTGTTTCACTTAACAAGTGTTTTGCTTTACAAGTAACATTCTGGAACAAATTATGCTCATTAAGCAAGATTCCACTGTACATAGAAAATTACAATGGCATAAAACAGATAACTATATTCTTTGGAATCGCTGTGCATATTTTGGTAATTATGTACAGTAATGAAAATATTATATTATGCCCAATATTTTATCATGTAAATTTTAGATCATAACAAACACATTTTAGAAATTTTAAAAAATTTACAATATTTTAACACTAATGAACCAAGAAATATTAACCGATGGTCTTGTTAATAACTACAATTATCTGAAATTAAAATAGATATTTATTCAGAAAAAGTTATTGGATGCACTGCCAATAAAGACAAAAAAATGTTGGAAAAAAGTGATGAATGCTTGCAATAATGAAAAATAACTATATTTTTATTGATGTTCTCATATATAAGGTGTCCACTTAACTATTCAGGGGCAAAAGGAATCTTTCCAGCATAGGTTATGCAAGTATCTTCCCTATTCACAACCTACATTGCCATACCCATTCCTCTGCTACCCGCAACCAGCACAATATGCAGACAATGCTGCACAGCAATTTGAGTGATGCAATGAGATGTTAAATTTACAGTATGATAAACTACAACTCCTTTAGCACATTTTATGGACTGACTAGGCAATATATAACCAACACAACATACAGTAGACCCCCCTATAATGCTTAGATACGTTCCACGCTTACCGAAAATTACGTTGTAGGAATGGTTAAATACATGAGCCAATCGCATCCCGATAGGTGGGAACTTTACAGACTAAGGCTGTTTGAAAGGTTTTCTTCTATAAAATTAACCGATTCTAGACTAATTCCACTCAACATTTCCAAAACACGTATAATTTTTTGGGAATAATCCGTATAAACTATGCTATAAACAAAAAATTATAGGATTACTTACCGAGTGTGTACCGTTCGACTACGCCGTTGCTTAAAGCTGGTTTTCATCGCGGAACAGCACATTAAACGGCGGCCGCGATTTCTAACAACTTATTTTTCTGCGAAGACTTCGTTGAACTTTGGAGACATCATTAATATAAATAATTTTTATGGCCGTTGAATAAGAAGTGTTTCTTTCACAAGAAATGTATAAAATTAGTGCTGTATTAGACTTACGGTACCTAATTTACATACTGTACAGACGATAATAAACTCAACTTACTAGCCTAAAATCTCCGTAGCGTGTTGCCAGGCGGCAGAAAGCATATATATAATTATAATAAAGTTACAATAAATTAAGTTAATATATAATTATATATACAGTACCTAATTTATATATAATTATATGTACAGTACCTAATTTATATATAATTTATATATAATACTAAACAGACGATAGTAAACTCAATTTAGCTGCTCCATAGCGTGGCGCAGGGTCGGAGGAAAGTAGTTCGGCTGCTCATCCATTATTGGTCCAGACTCTATCAATCTTGTCGTGAAACGACGTTATAGGAGGTACGTTATACGAAAGTTGCTACAATTTTTTCGCTATGTTATAGGAATTTCCGTTATAGGAACGTACGTTATAGGGGGGTCAACTGTATGTATCACTGGACAAATTGTGATGCACATGATGCATATGGCACGAAGTGCATTTTATCCTAAATGACTGGTGTGGAATTTGGGGTGACAGCTTCTTGGTCCCATATTCATGGACAATATCACCCCAAACAGTTGGTAGATATATGAACATCCTAAACACTACAGTAGATAAATGGCTCAAAGACTTGCAACTGAAGCAACTAAAGCAGGCTTGGAACCAGCACAATGGTACACCATCTCATTCCTGTATAGATATGTACAGTGGCTTGCAGAGCATTTTGGCAACCATCAGACAGGGCAACATGATCCTGTTCCATGGCCAATGCATACGCCAGATTTAACTCCCTCTCTGGATTTTTTTTCCTGTAGTCTACCTAAAAACATTGATATACAATTCATGTTCAGATACAATATGATAGCCAATATCATGTGAGACTGCTGGTATGCATCATACACCAATCTAGTTTCAGTTCACCAAGAACTGGAGAAATGCATATGAGCGGCCCAAGAAATAGTGACAACAAGAATTCTATGCGCTATTCAGAAAGCCATGCTTGACCATCTACATCTTTTTATTCTCACTGAAGGAAGTTGCTTTGAACATATTCTCAAACAAAATAAAGCTCACTTGTTCAAATAAATTTCTGCAATGCTGTCTTCATCCATTACAATATGAGATTATCTGTCTTATGCTAAATCAGCTTAAATTGGTTTTCTCTGGTTACTTTTGGCTAAAACAAGCATGCTCTTTGTGCATACACTTATGTAATGCTGGAAAGATCTTTTGTCCCTGGATAAATGTTTAAGTGGACACCCTGTATACTGTAAACATACAAATATTTTTGCATTTATAAGTTACTTATTATGCAGTTCACAAGCAGCATAATTCTAATTCTAGATAATAAATTATAAAAACTATATTATGATTGTATAAAGCATGTATGTAGCTACCAAAGATCAATGTTTTTTTATTTTATCTTTAAAGTACAAAATTTTACAAATCTAGAATAAATTTTAATATTGTCCATGGTTTTCAGTTAAGGTTAAGTTTGCAATATTACAGTCTAAATTAATAGCAATTATTTAATTATTCAATGATTAAATAATTATCTGAAAGTGAATAATAAATTTTATTAATTGTTATTTATCATAATTATTCTTGGACAATTATAACACATTAATGACTGCTTATTAAATAAATATTAATTAATTACATATGCATAATTAAATAATTAACTAAAATTAACAAAATGTGAAGATACATTTAAATCATGACAGAAATAATTGAATTATGGCAATTTTTTTCTTTAATCATTGAAATATATGCTTTTTTTTTTTTAAAGTAATTTAAGTATCCATTAAGCAATGCATATTCTCATTTTCAAAAAACTTGGGTTAATTATACATCAAAATTCAAACTGATTATTTACTTGTGTTTGGCTAATAATTAAAAATGCAATCTATTACTTTCCTGGTTCTGCTATATATTTTACAGAGGGAAAGTGCGGTGATCAGTCAAAAATCCCCCCCCAAGATTTTTACATTTTTGGACTCAGGACCTTGAAACATCAAGATATGTAAAAAAATTTGGGGTTTTTTTCTGTATGTGTGGTTGGATGGAGTGGACAATTTTCTTCACCATCTTTGAAGTTTAATAACTCCTGTGCTTTTTGTCAAAAATTTCTAAAATTTTGTAGGAAGGTTTGTGTATTAGGAGGATTGATGGTATTAAATTTTGATGGGATTAAGGGGTTAAAGTTAAAGATCAAGAAGGTTGTGTGTTGTATCTCAAGCTGAGTCAGACTTAATGACAATTTTACTCATTATTAGCATTTACAATTTTTCTTTTATAAAACTCATCCCTACCCACAAAATTAATTATTATAAAATAGCAAAAAGCTTAAAAATATAAAATGTTTTTTAGTAAAATATCATAACAGATGGTTCTACACAGTTTTAAATGTTACTGGGAACATTAAACAACTTGCTGCTAGATTTTTTATTAATTAGGATTGAGATGACACAATGATGAATAATTTCATCATTGAGTAAACATTTATAGCCATAACATTTCATTTTACAGAATCCAATTTAACTAGATCTAGTATATTCTACAATTCTACATATCATATTATTTAAATGAAATGAATAAAAATAAGAACTCTCTCTCTCTCTATATATATATATATATATATATTCCTTACTTTTTAAAAATGGCTAAAAATGATTAAACATCTCTTAATAAAAACTTCTATCATACTGGGTTTTGTACAAAAAACAAAAAGAATTGAGAAGTGTGTTAATCTTGTCTATATAAAAATAAATAACTAAGATTAAACAATACCTGATGACAGAATTCCTTAACAGATCTGTCTCCTTCTATGAAACTGGTAAAAAAAGTTTCTTCTTTTTGTAAATGTCCTGAAGTTATTAATCTGAAAATTCATTAAAACCTAATTATTTAAACTGTCTTATTTTATAATTATCCTGTAAAACTAATTTCCAAAATTTAATATGCATTAACTTGCTTACTAAAAATTTCAAATAATAAAAGGAATTATAAGTTTCTGTTCATTATTAATTACTTTCTTAAATAAAATACAAAAAAATCACTTTTACACTTGCAAAATATCAAAACTAAATAAAGTTTTACACACAAGAAACACAAAGATGGATGCTGTTTGTCACCTGCACATGTAGGATAACTAATGATGTATTTTTAATTAATATTGATGATGTAAATAAGTACTATGCTAATATTTTTGAATTTCTATGTAAATGATGAAAGCATAAAACAAATCTTTAAAGTGATTTAGATCTCTAAACTAATTTAATCATAAAAATTAATCAAAATACTAAAAGATATATTGTAATATAAGTAAGAATACAGAATAATAATAATAATTAATCTTTTGAATAATAGCTATTATTAATTTGTGATTTAATGAAATATAGCTAGTTTAATGTATCACAATAAAAGTAGCTTCTGATAGAAACCAAATTAAAAAAATTTTTATTTTTTATTAAACATGTGATTAAAATTCTACTCAAATAAAACTTAAAGCTTTTAATGAAACATCAAACACCTTCTATTGCTGAGAAATGTTTATTGAACAAAACACCAATGTTTTCAGCCTAATAGAATAGGCCACCTTAGGTGAAATTGAATTCAAACGTATTTTAAAATTTAACATTCTAACGATGGAACGTCTGAACATTATACATTCAAATTTAAAACAAAAATAATACAGGGGTACACAATCTGCGGCCCGCGGGCCACATACGGCCCCCTATCAATGTTTATGCGCCCGCNTAAAAACGCATCAAAATATAAGGGCAGGTACAGTTTAAGAATTTTTATATTTTAATTTTTCTTTTATGTAGAATTTCCATGCAGAAGCTAGTCAATCCACATCCCTGGCATTAATACAACCATCCTTTAATTTACTTTTATAGATTTCAATTTTTTCTTCATGCAATGCTAATGATGTGGAATGCATGGTCCTGAGGATAGTCACTTCACTCCATTTAACTACAGAGTCCTCTGCTTGTGCCATACTTGACAAAACTGTATTGAAGTGTCCTTTATTAATGTCATATTTGTGCTCCTTAAGTCTAATAGCTAAATTCCTAAGTGTAATAAACATTTCTCAGTGATAGAAGGTGTTTGATGTTTCATTAAGTGTTTAAAAATGCTGAGTTTGATATTTAGTTACTTAAAACTATTTTTGAAAAGCTGTTACAATTATTATTACAATTTTTATATTCAAATGAATATAAATCTAAGATTTATAATCAAATTTCAAAAAATCTAAGAATGACATAGTTAAAAAAATGCTGGCAATGCTCTTGCTAGACTTTCCTGGCACTGGAACATGAAGTTAAGGGAACTTGGAAAGTCAGATAATTTTCAGTTATACTATGATATAAAATTTAAACTCTCTTACAAAATACAAAAAATGTTTAACCAGTAGAAAAAAGAGGAGGAGATGGGGAAGGAAAGAAGGAAAGTGAAGAGATAAAAAGGAGAGAAAGGAAAAATCTCAGCGGTTTCCAAAGTGTGCACTGTGGCGCCACAAAATATTATAAAATTTTCATAATTTTACTTCCATTTTCAATTCAATGTGATAAATGCAACATCTATCAGACCTGATGCAAACCATTAACTCAGTAATAACTGTTTGCAGAAGCCTCTACAAATGTTTACCAGATGGTGCTCTGCAATAATTTTCTTAATTGTTTTAGTAGTTTGTCGAACTTACTCAGTATTTTGTGTTTGTATATAAATAGCTGTCAGTTTCATGTGATTTCAGTGTTAAATTAGTTTTTGGAGATTGTATCAACTGAATATTGCAATTAAGTCAAGTGAAGTTTTTGAAGTATTTCTTCTCATATGTATTTTTAAAAATGGATCCGTTTTTACTAAACAGTAATAAGCATTGTGAAAGTGAAAGTAAAGAGAGCACATGTTGTCAACCAGTGATAAGAGTGTGAAGAAGCATAAATATTCAATAAATGATGATAATTATTTGGATTATACACTGAAGCCTCTCTTCACCATTCACGGAAGTCAATGGTGAAGAGAGGCTTCAGTGTATAATGTGTATGAAAGTTTTGGAACCAGAATGCATGCTACTAAGTAAGTTAAAATGCCATTTAGAAACCAATCAACCTAGCATGGTTATTAAATCTTGTGACTACTTTACTAGAAAGTTAAGAGAGTTAAATCAATATAAAAGTAGTTTTCATAAGGAGGCATCAATACCAAGCAATGCTTTGCTAGCATCTTACAAGGTGGCACATAGAATCGCAAAATGTAAGAAGCCTCATACCATCTCAGAACTCATTTCTACCAGCTGCTGTAGATATGGTGAACATTATGATCAGTGAGTCTGCTCGGAAGCAGCTTTCAAAAGTGCCTTTGTCCAATAACACCATCAGTTACAGAGTACAGTACATAGTGGAGGACCTCAATAATCAATTAATTAAAAAATAAAAGAGAAGAAATTTGGGTGGCAGCTGGATGAAGACACAGATAATAATAATAATGCTCACTTGATTTGAGTTTTTAGATAGTAATAACATTGTAGAAGACCTCTTTTGTAAAAGTATCACTGCTGGTGCTAAGGCTCAAGACTTGTTCAAGATCCTTGATATTTTTATATCCAAAAATAATTTGAAGTGAACCAAATGCATTGGTATCTGTACTGACAGTGCTCATTCTGTGTGTGGGTGTTATGGAGGATTGAAAACACTTATTCGAAGCAAAGCCCGACACACTGTGGACCCATTGCATTATTCACAGCATCAAAATATCTGAGTTGTACAATGAACCAGGCCTTAGAATATGTAGTGAATGTAGTAAACTTCATAAAAACTCAGCCGATGAAAGCAAGATTTTTCAAAAAAACTATGTGAAGATATGGAATCTGAGCACACATCTTTGTTGTACTACAGCACTTCCCTGTGGTACTGTTTTATCTTGTACATTTGAACTGCAACAGGAAACATATTTTTCTTAAAGAGAAAGACAACAAATATGCCAAAAATTTTCTGAATGAAGATTGTTTTGTAAATGTTTCGTCCAATGGAGATTATTATTATTATTAAACAAAAAATTAAACACAGTCTGCCCAAAAAAGGGGCCCCCAACTTATTTTTTGTGTTCCAGACTTCATATTCATGGCGACAGACCTTCCTTTATAGGCTACATGTAGCCAGAATTTAAAAAACAGTCTTTTAAAAAACACAATTACATCCAATTAAAAAAAAATCTTTTTAAAAAAGAAACTAGTGTTATAAAGACGTCTTCCTTTCCATTCATCCTATGGGGTGTTTCTGCTTTTATCTACTGGAATAAGTACTGAAAAATGCAGATTTCGGAAACTTCCTCCTGGTGATGATATATTCCAATTTTTTCTTTTGTAAATTTTTCGTCCAATGGAGATTATTATTATTAAACAAAAAATTAAAGACAGTCTGCCCAAAAAAGATTGAAATGAAGATTGTTTAGTAAAACTAGCATACTTATGTAATATTTTTGAAAAGCTGAATGCTCTGAATCTCTCTTTACAGAGAAGAAACATGCACTTTTTAAAGTCAATTGGAAAAATTTCAGCTTTTATAAAAAAATTAAAACTATGGAAAAAAATTAAATGAAGACAGAGGAAAAGAATGTTTCCCCTTGTTGCAACAGTTTTTGACTTCCAATGGAGTTTATTTCTCTCAAGGTATGAAATCTATTTTTGAAGAACATTTATCACAGCTTATCACCTGGTTTGAGAAATATTTTCATTAAGTCTGACTCTACTTGAGATATGACAACCCCTCTGTTCCAATTCCCTTGGACCTAAAATTCAACAGCATCAATGCCCCATATAGAAATAAGCCTGCCAAGTTTCAAAACATTTGTTCATCCATAATGAGATATAATGAAAAATAGATGTTGACATACAGAATTTTGTAAGGGTTTTTCCACCCTTACATTTTTGGGATCTTTAATGTCAAAACATAGAGAAATACAAAAATACTGAAAGAATCAAAATGTAACCAATCAGCAAATTTTGTTATGTATATTCTAATTCTATAATAGCCAGAAAAGTAAAAATGATTAAAATAAAAAATAGTAAAAGAATCAAAAGTAAAGTGAAAATTATATATTGTTTACAAAAATTTACAAAACTGGAAAAAGATAATAAATAAAATTTAAAACTTTTAGAAATAAAATCTTTATACTATAAGACATCTATAAAATATTTTCTATTTGTTTTATATATAATAATGTTTCATTATAATAATTATCTATAAAAATAAGCACATGGTAAAACTAATATTAGTTATATACAATATAATCTTACCTCATATAAACTACAATATAATCTGAATAGCCTTGATTATTGAATGTTTCCAATAAATCTTCTAAAGTCATTTGCTTATCTATTTTCTTCAGAACTTCCATAAACTAAAAGAAATATATTTATCATAAGTATAAATTTAAATCAATTTAAAAAATTCAGAATTTCTTACAGTATCATAAAAGTCTTCAATGGTAAACTGAGGAAACCCAAGAGCTACTAAATTATCCTTGCTTTTACTTGCAATTTCACAGAACCTATAGAAAAAAAAATTTATTAATATTGATAGTTTCAAAATAATAGCAGATGATATAGTGTACAGTACCTATTGTATTCTTGTCTGTCGTTGAGCAAACTTTCTAGATAGGCAAAGCTGAATGCTCGAAAGAAACAGTTTCCATCAGGACGAGTCCTTCGAATATTTTTGTATTTAGTTTGAAGATCCTTAAAAACAAATAATAATCAAATTTATTTTATATCAGAAGGTATAGTCTATTTGATTTTATTCAATTGCATTTTGTAATAAATGGAATCAAGGAAAAATTTTTAAAATGCAAAGCAAAAATAGTGAGAATGAATGTTTAAAATACATTTTTCTAATTAATTCTTCAAAAAAAAAAAAGAATTTTGTTAACTAGGAATAAACATTTTAAAAATGCAACTATTTTTATCTTATTTCATAATGACTAAATATATCAATAATATACAAATACAATTTAACTTTGTATCATTTTCATTTAAATAAATTCTTTCTTAGCTCATTTCTTGTAATAAACCATTTATTGAATTGAGTTACAAATATTGTCATTTTTTTAAACCATCATTTTGTAATATACTAATCAGCTCAAGTGATAGTTTATTAATTATGTAGAAGTTTTAATAATTTTTATAATGGTTTTTGATTATTTTTAAAAAAGTTAGCTCATTACTATCGATGAAAACAAACCCCTCATTATATTACTTAAGGTGTCTAATGTTATATAAATTTAGAAAAGACAATGCTACTGTTATTGTGACAAACAATGTATGGTAGTGAAGCTGTATCAGAAAATGTCAGCATTGAATAGTGGGCGAGATTTAACAAACAGTGGAACAAAATACCAAAAATCGATGTCCTAGAAATCAATTTTTATAAGCAAATCAATACTACTTAAGATGGCACTTCAGTCAAGTTGGTTTTGTAAGACCCTTTTCATCTATTTAATTTGGTACCCCTGAATTTTAGGTATTTATCAAAAAGTAAAAAACTGTTGATAAAGTGTATAAAAATTATGTATAGGAATAAAATTAGTTTGTGAATTTTTAATAAGTGTATTTTATAATAATTTCAATTTCAAGTATGGCAAATAGGTTAAAGTTTATATTAAAACAAGTAAAACGGAAAAACCATATTTGGGACAAGACTATGTCTCGGAGACTCACTACTAAGTGGAATCACTTTGACACTCAAGGTGGGTCTCGTTCTCATTCTCCAATCTTCTTTGGTATTGTTGCTTTTTGGCGCGATCATTCAAACTTTGCCGGCCACGACCATGAGGTCATCCACGATACATTTTCAATAAAATTAACCTATCTGATTTCAAAATTTCTCTCCGTTGCGTGTCGGCCCAGGTTGAATTTTTGTCGATGACTAATGAAAATTTCCCATTTTTGAAAAAAAAATCATGGCTATTGTATCATCTGAAATTATTTTTTTTTATTTTGCACAAACAATACACAGTGTAACCTGATTATAATGTCATCAGATGTAATGAAAATCCTAATATAATGTCAAATTTTTATCAGTCCCACAATTTTACTACACAGTGGGTGATTGGTTAACGAACAAATCGGATAGCGAACATTTTTGTGAAAGATTTTTATGATTGGACAACGAACACATGATTGGATAACGAACACTTCACTAAACAAACATAAAAAGAAGCAACGGAAATAGCAAATACTGATTGATTTTCCTTTATCTTCAGGTAACTTTTTGGAGTGCGGGAGACATCAACGTTGACGCTCAACCCGATATATATTGATCAGATAGTATTCCTTGAACTTTGAAATACTCCCTTCTGATTCCAGCCTTTTATTTTTCTGACAAACAATTCTTTTATAGTATTCACGAGACTGTCAGGCGGGCACTCATTAAGTTTTGCATCGTTTTTATTTTCAAAAGGTGAGAGCAAAGGTAGGAAATGGGCAAAAGATGTCTGATGTTGCTGGGCTGTATGGCTTGATCAGGTCTACAGTAGGCCGGAGTTCAATCTTATCTAAGAAAGATACAGTATAATCAAGAAGACTCAAGCAGCTAAAGGAATAACAAAAATCATATCTGAGAAATAAAAAATATTGAAGAGCTCATAATGGAACCTGAAACAGATCTGACGACAGAAGAATGCCAAGAACTCTTGAATGAAGAACACCAAGAAACTTGGTGAGATGTTTTTTTCTGAAAAAGAGGATTAATGCCGATATCTGCTATTAACTAAAGATATTTTGAAGAAGTGGGGGATGTCAGATCAATGGTCTTAGAATGGCATACAAACCAGTTTGAGGTTAATAGGCTTGGGGATCTCTACAATTACAATGCTATTAATTCTGAAAATCCTGAAGAGAGAAAAGCAATCGACATTAGACAGATTATTTAACCCCACAAACAAAAAAACATGAGTAATAAAAATGCAAGTCTGTGTATATATGTATTTTTATTATTACATATAAATAAACGTAGTAAGAAAGTATATATTTTTTATTTTTTGGGATCTCCAGAACGAATTAATCAAATTCCCATACAAACCTATGGTAAATTGATAATCAGTTAACAAACAATTCGGATAGCAAACAAAGTCTTGGAATGGATTATGTTCATTAATTAACTGATCACCCACTGTACTAGATAATGTTAAAAAACCTACTTGTAACAAGATAAAACCCTGCTTTAATGTCATATTTGAAGGACTCCCAAATTTACAAAATTAGATCACAAATTTTATTTAACAAAGAAAATACTACATGTTTAGTCCTAGGATCAGAGTCCACTTCCTAGAATGACTGTGGATGGTACTCTCACCACCTGACTTTGGTGGGGTGAGGTGCCTGTTTTGCCTGTTTGTAATAGAAGAGGGTTGCCATTTTGTATTTTATTTTGACTCAGTTCTTGGTCCCCTGACTACCTACCTACCTAAAAGTCTGGATTTTTTTATGCGCAAATGATTTTGGTACCTAATACTCTGTGCCAAATATCAACTCTCGACATGCACTCCTTCATACCTCTAAGCTGGTAACATAAACAGGCAGTACAATTTTATAAACAAGACATAGTCTTGTCAATAAGAATGCAAAAATCTTTCTTTCTCATAAAAACCAACATTTCTTTCTAATTATATTAAATATGGCATCACATGTAACATGTCAGTACGTTCCTTAACAATATAAAAAATTAGCACAACTGAGCACTATCAAATTTGTATTTTTTAATTTCTTAACGGTTTATTGAGTAAATTCTGTAAAGTTTAGCTGCTTGAATTTGCTTGTTTTACTTCAAAATTAATTCATTTTTTGCAGATTCCTTGCAAGTCCTGAGTTATCTTTGTCCATAACTAGTGTGGATATAGTTATTAAAGTGATTTGGAATAATTTTGTAAGTTTTAGCTTGTAGACAAGAAATAGATACAGAAAAATTTAATAACCATACTATCAAAACAGCAAATTTGTTGAAAGTATCCCCAGTTCTACATGCCTGTATAAAACTCTATGAACACTTGTAAGTATTCATAAAATTTTAATTCCCAATGTCAAATAATTCAATTTGTCATATTTCCAAGGAAACATGTAATAAAAGCATAAGTCAATATAGAGAGAATATTACAGAAGAAAAATAATTCACAAATTAATACAATGACTGATTTAGTACAGGATCTTTTCATCTAATCCACACTTATCTTTCAAAATGAACAAAAGGCCAAAGATATCATGTCATGCTCCACTCTCTAAACAAGCCAAAATTCTTTTTAACACTAGGAAAGCTAGAATTTGTCTATGCCAAGAACCAGAAATACAGGTCATTTTAACCTAATAGAAAAATTGCAACTAAACAGCCCGATTTATTTATTTTGACATATATTTTTATTATATATATTTCTGAATATATTCTTTTGCTATCAAAAATAGGAACAAACTAAGTACACAAAGTTTACATTCAACAAATATTTAGGAGGCGTCATGATAGAAATTGTGGGCATTAAAAATTCAATGATGATCTTGAAAAGACCTCCGAGTTTGTACAAAATTCTAAGAAATGATAAAGGGAATATTAAAAAAGAAGATAAAGCAGGAGTTTATAGGATCCCCTACGAAAACCAACAGTTAGGGTTAAAAAAGGATTACATAGGGGTTACAACAAGAAACCTCAGGGTAAGAATCAGAGAACATAAATGATGTTAGAAAAGGATCTAATACAACAGTATTGGCTTAGATGGCTCAAGCCCAAGGATCTCGGTTGGGTGGGAGGAAGTGGAAGTCGTCAAACAAGTACTCTCTCCAACTTTAGCAAAAACTGCTGAAAAAATGGAAATTTACAGGAGCAAACTTCAAGAAGGATGCATTAATGCCAGAGATGCAGAGGGCCTTCCCTCGGCTTGGAAGTTTGCCATTAAAAAGCTTACAAGTAGCTTATGAAATGAAGTGTGATCAATAATTGCTTTAAGGAAACTTAGTAACCTCTATTTGGTTATGGTAGATTGTATTAATGTTTAGCCATTGTAGTATGTTATTTATTTTTACACTTATGTATCATTTACGATTTAATTTTTATTCTAATTTTTTTTATATGTTATTAGTTATTGGGTATTTTTGAATTTTAAACATGATGTTCCATTTATGATGTATTCCATTTTCGTATGTTCTAACCTGATGATGATCTATTGAGTAGATTGAAAATGTTCATTTTGTTTTCAATAAACTCCCTCAGCAATGAATAAGGTGTTGGCTACTTGATTTATCAAAAATCATAATGACCAAAAATTAATTTATTCTCTCATTACTTTTCTACTGTACATCAAACACATTATCTAAATTTCTGCTGTGCATGTCTATAAACTGGAACTTTGCAAGAATTACAGAATTGCATGGTCTGGTTGCCATTACTTTGGCAGTATATCCCTTACAATTTCTATATATATTTTTTTCTTCCTGGTAAAAAATCTGAATTTCCAGACTTTTTAAGATCTGGAATGGTTTACTTGGTTGTTTTTCCCCTCTAGATACTCTTGATGCAATTCTTCTGATATCTTTTGGAGATATTTATATCTGAAAATGCATTTGAGTTATCTCCTTGAATAATGTAAATGCATTGATAACCAGGATGTTAAACATTGTTACTGGTGAATGTCTTGATGAGCTTCATGTACTATAAAACTGTGCCATCTAATCAATCATGTTGAACCAGCTTTGTTTTGGTTATCATACATTATCATTTGTGGTTTCATTTCTTTGTCTTGTCCTGTCAAAAATCTCAAGAGTCATGAAGAGAACTCATGACTATTACATTTTTATCCTTCTTCAATATATAATTGTAAACTTTATGTTATTTTCATTGTTCAGAATCAGCTCTTTACCCATGACAGCTTTCACTAGAATGGGATGATAACAAAATTTCTCCAGATTCTGCCAAAAACTCTCAATTCTGATTCCTTTGAATACTTTCTAAAGTTTATTTTAGTTTACAAAAATTAACAATTTACATTATGAGCACAGTACATTCATTAATTAAAAACAAAAATCAAGCTTAAGAATCAAAAGTGACTGGGATATCCAGAATCAATCTTTCAAAACAAACCCAAAACTTCTCTATTTATATGTGGATATGCATGCTTTTATTGTGTACTACAAAATAAATTTATAATCTTATTTCAAATAAAGTTAACATTGCAACATTATCTCCAAAGAAATTACACCTAATTCCCTTTTACTCAAAGGACTATTCTAGCGCATCATCTAGGGTTGCCATCTTTGGAAACTGCTTCGTTAGCACTGATGAGTAGGGGAGAGAGAAAGAAAACAAAACATGAGCTTCTTTTTTTCATTCTTCTCCCAATTGGCATGCCTCGTACACACTTTAATACCATTGCATTTAACACTAAATGAAGTTCAGCAAGTGATGCAAAGATCCTAACAAATATCATAATCATTGAGTCAACTGGAATTTGAATTTATTCAAGCAACAAATGTCTAGACCGACTTATCTTAAAAAATCAATTTTTAAAATTCAAAACATTAGTAAACTTAATGTGAATGAGTATTTTTGTATTTGAAATTTTAATGTATTACAAATTGTATTTGAAAACTTAATGTATTACAGCATCATCTATGAATCATACCAAAAACTTTATTTCTGATATAATTAATGTTTTTTTAACAATATTTTTGCTAACTGCCAGCCTTGATTTGAAACTAGGTAGCAGTGTTGCCAGATGTTTTTAGCTTTTGTAGTCAAAAGCTAAAAATATCTTTCTAAAAAGTAACCAACTGAAAAAACAATTAATTTTTAATAACCTGAGATTTCACAATAAAATAAAAAAGGACATTGTTGCATGGGTTAGTGGCCCAAACTACTGGAGTAACATTTACACTTTTTTGTCCAATTTTTTTTTTTTTTTAAATCCCCACATTAGATTTTGATGATTTTGGTGTCAAAATGCTCAGTAGAACACTGGCATGTGCATAAATTACATTTTGGAAAATATAATTAACTCTGAGAAAAGATATATTAAAAAAACAAGTGTCAACTTTTGCCTCTTTGACACTTAATAACAAAAAATTATTTTGACAGTTTTGGGTACTGTTTTTTGCAATATAAAGCTAGACAGTTGCTTGATATTTTTCCAGTTTGGTGAATTTCAGTCTAACTACAGAAAAGTTATCAGAGTTCTAAAAAAAAAAGGAACCAGATCTATGTCCCCCATCCCCACTAGATGGAACCATGTTACCTAGCTCTTCAATTGTCTAGCTCTAATAACAGGAAGCTTCTGGAACAATGCAGACTGTGTCATATTTTTCCGATGTGAACTTTTTGATTTCATTTTTATACTAAAATACAGTTGATTCCATTTAATTGGGGTAGCCACTTTTTTGGACCAAATCTCAAAGAACAGAAACCAAATTAATAAACTAATACATAATTTAAACACTTAATTGGGACAGTAGCAGAAAAGGAATTTAGCAATTTTCGATATATTTTATTGATCTTCCGAAAGTATGTCAACTCTACGTACACTATGTCATATAGGCCTAATGGTTGGTGGAGACAAAGCAATTTTGTCTTTTGCTCAGGTGGTTCGGTTTTTCTGGCAGGGATCAGCATAGCGGGACATATCACACCAGGATCCTAATCTTTAAGCACAATTAATGAGAATAGATGTTACGCTCTTCATTTCTTATCAAGACAAAAACATTTGTACAAACATATTTGGTGTTTACTGTTTTATAATTATTTTCTTTAAAAACAAATATTAAATTTACATAAAAATAAACTTATATTAGTTGAGCTACTGACTCTGCTCTGAATTGGACCAGCTCAACTCCTACCTCACATTCCACCCAAAAATTTCAACTTTTATGTAACTATTACAAATATATGTTTTTTAAACATGTCAAGCAACCCACAGGACATTATGTTTCAGATGCAGTTCCCTCAGTTGAGACTGTACAAAATCTCAAACATGGCTGATTTTAACGAATGACTCCAATTTAACCAAGACTTTTCTTGCTTAAATGCCAACTGATTTTATTTTATTATTCTTTTATTTCTTATTTTTTAGTTTAGTTTACTTTATTTATTTACTTTAATTATAATTTCTTTATTACACTTTTCTTTTTTATCTGTACTTTGTCAATTTTTTTCTTTTCTCAACAATAAATCACTTATAATCTTTCATCTGTGACATATTACTGCTCAAACTGCTCGCCCAGGCTAATTACATTGATAAACATCCTCTCGAGTTTCTCAATGTCACTTATCTAGTTAATTTTCTTATAAAATGTGGAAGAATTGTTTTTAAGAATCTGAAATCAAGACAGGATTTGCTTAATTCTGATTCATGGAAAATGCCCAATTTTTCCACTTCCTGATTACAATAAATTGTCCCACTATAATAGGAAACTCATGCTAATTGTATTGTATTGTTCCCAGCATGCTAATTTTCAACAAACATACAATTAGTTATGAGAGAGATGTAAAAAAATTGTCATGTGTAATGTTGATACCTGAATAAATATAATTGTTGACATATTTTATGATAACATGCTGCACCAATGATATTTCTCTAAGATGTGACTCATCTTTACTAATGTAAGGAAAACCATTTAGAAAATATCTATTTCCCATCAGGCAGAATCCTGAATATGATTCCTAATTTGTTGGGTTTATTTGGCATATATTGAATAAAAGAAATATCTTTTGCATCAGAACAGGTGTTCATAAACAACAACAGATTCACTTGGATTGAAGCATTTCATGTAATATGTACTGACAAAATAAGATGCACTCACTTTAGTATTATAAAATTTTTGGGTAATTTTTTCGTATATATACATATATACATATACACTTAGAATCATACACACACACAACAAATAATGTTAAGGATATTCTCAATTATTGATAAACATCATTTTATAAATATATTCATAAAATTTTTTGTCGGATATCGATAAATAAAAGTACAGGTCAAAATGGCCTGTAGTTGGCAATTCATGGTATATCGTTATATTTACAAGGGATGATCAAAAACTAAGGTTACAAAGCCTGCAGTGAAAAGTGTACATTTTATTTCATACAACTAACACAGTCAACTGATAGTACATACATTAGGTTATTTTTCAAATAGTCTCCATATCGGTTTAGACACTTGTCACTTCATGTGATGAGTTTGAAAATTCCCTCCTGGTAAAAATCCTGTCCTCTCGTGTTCAGCCAAGTTGTCACAAAGTGTTTCACTTCCACGTCTGAAGCAAATCGTCGCCCTGCTAGGTTCTCCTTCAAGTGAGGAAACAGGTAAAAGTTGCTTGGAGCAAGGTACTCATATAGCCCAGAAGACCACCATGCTGTTGAAGCAGTTTCGCTGGGACATCATCAACCACCCTCCCTACAACCCAGACCTCGCTCCAAGTGACTTGTTGTCCTCATAATTGTTACAAGAATGAAAACAAAAATCAATAACAGTAAAAGCATCAGTTTATACTTATTAATTTAAGCTTGTGTACCTTTCTAAAAGTTCTGACTTTGACCCTGTTGTCTTGTCCCCTAATTTGTTTAATTTCTTTCATAATTCGACAACTGTTACATTTTTTTTAAGTACATGTTTTATAAGTAGATTAAAACTTCCCGTTCAGTTTCCATTGCTACTCACTACCAGAAGTTAAGTATACATCAAGCTGACAACAGTGCCGCAAGTGATGAGATTTAAACCATGCATGCCCCCATTACATCAAATGTAAGATACAGTCTGTTTTAATATATACTAAAATCTGATAATCTGAATAACAACAAACATACAAAATAAGAAACAAAAAATTAAAGGAGAGAGAGCATTTTTCAAGTGTATAGGCTACTTTTACAAATGCACATTAAGAACTTGCTGAGATGATATAGAAGTTCTCACTTTAATTTCATCTCTAATTGTTCAAATGTCTTAAGGAAAGTTAAGAATGTCTATCAAAATAATTCTGATTTTAATTAAAATTTGTTGGTATCAGGATCACGCAATTCACATAAATGTCTTAATTTCTTCTATTTTTATATATATTACTATTGATGATAAAATATAATCAATGTTTATTTTGTATCATCATAAACAATAATATAATCAAGTTTACAAAATACAGTACTTACTTTTAGTTTCTCTAGATAAACATCATCATCTTTAGCATATTCTTTGCTCAATGACAATAGTGAGCATTTTGGACCAATTAATGGAATTGATTCTGCAATCTAAATATATATTATTAATTAACTTAGGTCCATTCAATAATAAATAATAATAATAATAATAAAAATTATGAAAAGAAAATATCCTCTCTTAATAATTTATATATATATAAACAAATCAATCAATCTTCATATACTGTATCAAACTCAAAAGAAGAATTATTTTTATATAATTAATCTTAAAGCTGGAACTACTAAATAAGTGATGACAAACTGATCTTTCATACATTTCAAGCAGTAATAGCATTGCAAAAGCATTTTCTTTTACAATGCTGTCACTGCTGGAAGCATACGAAAGGTCAGTTTTTGTCATCACTTAAAAGAATTTTATATATTTGAAGGCCTTGTACTACATTGCTATTTTTTAGAGGCTCCTTAACAAAAAACATAAATAATTTGTTTGATTGTGTAAGTACAATAATGCCCCGAGTTATGTAACATGCTACTTACGTAAATTCACAGTTATGTAAAATGTAAATTTCAAAAATTGGAAAAAATCCGAGTAGAGTAACATGAAATTTTACAAAGAATTATCAGTGTTGCTATCTCTGAGTTTCGTTGAGTTGGCAATACTGATCTTCTTTCAGAACAGATTTGCATTAAGAAAAACCCACACCGAAACTGCATACACCAAGGGTTACCTATATTTTACTCTTTCAATTTTCTGTAATCCAATCATTAGATTACATTCTAAACCATCAATCCTGTCAGAAATACTTTATTCTTAACTAATTTTTTCTTCTAGTTATCAGTTGCCTTTTAATTTTGACAGTATATCTTGGTTATTTCTTAACCGTAGAAAAACACTTCATCTATAGGAAAACAGGCAAATGATCTGAAATCAACAGAACTAAAAAAAATTCTTATCATCAATTACACCTTTCATCTGAGTGTAGTCTAACAGACTTGGGCAATTATTACCAATCCAATGAAATTCAATGACCCTAAGAACCCAAACACAAACAGTCTACAAAGGCCTCATACAATAATTGTGCCACAAACAAACAAACTTTCTCTTTCATCTATAAGATTAAATTTATGATGATAATTGTTTTATAGATGCCAGAGAATTTAACTCATAATCTTATTATTATAATATAATATTGAAGCTGATTTTTTGCTGAGAAGTGATAACTAATATTGATTAAATGAAAAAGGAACTGTACAGTAAAATTACAGACCCATTTCTTGTAATAACTAAAAATGAACTGTTCTTAATTTACATAATTGCTTGCTTACATGCCAATGAAAGCAAACAATTATATCATCACTTAAAAAATGAAATAAGCTAATATTAGTGATGCATAGGGTTGCCACCTTTTTAAAATTGCTGACCCGGACGGCAGGTGAGGTTTGTTCGAACAGAAGTTCCTGACGCATGCGTATATCATTTTGCAATGCGAAGAATAATTTGCAGTGCATGCTGGTTCTAAATCAGTTACAGTTAGCGACTAGGGAAACTTGGATTGGAGTAACGCAAGTGACCTAGCTCTATTGGATATTGGAGGTGTATATGATTAAGAATGAACAGTACAAGCAGAAAAAAAAAAAAAAATTGGCAGGTTACACGTGATATCCCCGGACGGCGAGTCAGATGAAACACTATTCTGTGCTCATTTCAATCGGACTCCCCTGCCGCCCCCCCTATGCCATGCTACTGTCTTTAAGTCAACGACTACCACACTAGTAATTCAGTACACGGGGGAAGAAATATATGCGACAGTTTGCATATAATTTTGTACATAGTCATTTCAACTTGCACAACCCGGAGAAATATTAATTAACCCCGGAGCCCGGAGATAACTCACTCAATCCTGGAGTCTGCCGGTCAAACCCGGACAGGTGGCAACCCTAGTGATGCATCAATTAATTGGTAGAAACTGGAAATCAGCAGAATTGGTCAAACAATTACTAACTATTAATATTTCTCATTATTAATCATTACTTTCTGTTAAATTTAAGTCAATTAATCTGTGATAAGGACTTCATATGATAATTCTGTTAATAACTTGTAATAATAACTATAAACTAACAACAGTATTTATCGAAAATGTTTCAAATGAAGAATTTTTACATAATATTAAATGTATTAGTTTTACATTTTTATTTTTAAAAATATCTGAAAAAAATTTTACAACTAGTATTGTTTATATGTAAAAATTATAAAATGTAACATGAAGGAGTGTGTTATGAAATGCTCCAAAGAATAGTGGGCTGAGCCCCTACTATAATACGAGGGCAGGCTGAAAAGTAATGCACACATACTTGTAGAGCACAAACGAAATGATTTTCAGAAGAGCACCAGGTGACATATGGAAGTAACATTCCCCCCTCTATGTGCATGCACAGTTTGAGGTTGTTGTGTCCATTCAGTATATTTTGAGAAGCAGAAATATGGAGACATGTTCTGGTGCTATGTTAACGCAAGTTAAACAGCATGCTGTTATCGAATTTTTAACTGCTGAAAAAATTACATTTAAAGGCTGTTTATGCTGACAATGCTGTTGATAGGTCTATTGTAAATTGATGGATAATAAAATTTCGTGGTTGCGAGCCTGGAAAAGCCATAATGGTTGATGAAACACACAGCAGAAGTCCAATCACTGCCACAGACAATTACTGTTGCACCTTGTTACAATGTTTAATTCTTCTCAGTACATTCAGACTCTAAAACACCTCTGATGTTGAGTTTGACATGTTAGAGGCAGCCTGGCACCAATAATCTTGCAACATGACAACGCTCGTCCACACACCTCACACGCAACTGGAAAGGCTCTGCGAAACCTGAAGTTTGAACCGATTCCACACCCTCCTTATTCCCCCAATCTTGCGCCTTGTGATTTTTATTTGTTTCCTCTACTTAAGAGAGACTTCAAGGGTAATCATTACGCCTCAGACGATGAGGTAAAGGCAGCTGTCAAGTCCTGGATTTGAGAAAAGTCAGAAGAATTTTTCAGTGACGGAACGAAAAAACTTGTTACACGTTGGGAGAAATATGTTAGTCATCATTAAGGCTATGTTGAAAAATAAATATATGATTTTGAAGCTTAAGAATTGTATTTTAATGTACTTTTGCCCGATCTTGCTATTTGTTTTTGTTTGTGTTCTACAAGCACGTGTGCATTACTTTTCAGCCTGCCCTCGTATATGCATATTTCATATATATATATAACATTAATTTTAAAACATGTTAGTTAGGTAAAATTATAAAATTGGGAGAACACCTAATCTAACATGGATAAAATTTTTTCAAAATATTTTAATTTTTTCCAAACCCCTCTTAATTACCCTTCAAACACAGTCTCAGGACTGGTTTTAATGAAATAGTGCAAAATTAAACAAAGTGCAAAAACTTATAATTAATTGTAATTTAAATGGTACTGTATCATTTTTTAAATTTTTATTTTAATAACGTTGATTGTGTAACAAGAGTTCCTTTCTGATTAATTTATTCCAATTNAGCACGTGTGCATTACTTTTCAGCCTGCCCTCGTATATGCATATTTCATATATATATATAACATTAATTTTAAAACATGTTAGTTAGGTAAAATTATAAAATTGGGAGAACACCTAATCTAACATGGATAAAATTTTTTCAAAATATTTTAATTTTTTCCAAACCCCTCTTAATTACCCTTCAAACACAGTCTCAGGACTGGTTTTAATGAAATAGTGCAAAATTAAACAAAGTGCAAAAACTTATAATTAATTGTAATTTAAATGGTACTGTTTATCATTTTTTAAATTTTTATTTTAATAACGTTGATTGTGTAACAAGAGTTCCTTTCTGATTAATTTATTCCAATTTATTAATATATATTCCATAATATATAACCAATGATTCCCAAAGTAGTTTATACAGACCCCAAGGGTCAACTCCAAACTACAAGGGGTCCATGTCAGCGAAAACAAAAATTGGGGTGCATGAGATGTAAATGAGGGTCCACGAGAATGGATCCCATTTAAGCTGGTCGTGTCTGAAATTTTGGCTTTCCATAAATGGAATAATTCACATAACACAGATAGTACCTATGTACTTACATAATACTTTCATATAATAGACATATAAATTACCTATAAAGTGAAAATTTTTAAAACATAAATGTTTATGAAACATGATGAAGATTTGGAGCTAGATTTGGGGAACTTTATGACTCCATGCTTTAATCATGGGAAAATTTGAGATCGATGATAGAATCATTCTCTGTCGACAGGTCAAACCAACAACTTAATTGCTTTGAATTTTAATTAATGCTAATTGTTAGAATATTTTCTTGAGTTCAATCAACTTATTTCATTTTACCTATAAAATTATTGTTAGACTTTTGTTATTGAAATTTAAATTATTATTTTCTTATATATCAAACTGTTTAAGAATTAATTGTTTACTATGAAATTTATAATATTTTATTTACTATATTCAATTACATATTTATTAAGTATATTTCATAAAATTGTGCAAGCAGGCTATTCGCTTTGTGGTTGCAACACTTGTAACTTGTAAAAACTTGCACATTTGATACTAGTATCAATATGTTGAACGCATGTGTGAAGTAGAAATGCTTGTCCATACTTATACCAGAGCTTTGCAAGGACAGAGTAGACTTGTACCAATTGTACTTGTACAGACTTGTTTAATTCGTTAATTATAAATACAAATGTTAGAGACAAACAATGTTCATTTGATTTCGGAATTTTGAAAAGAAAGTGTTAAGCAAATATTTTTTAAAATATAAATAGGTAGTTAGGTACATACAAGTTAAAGTGAATCAATGTCATCTTGTTTGGGAGTGCCAGAGAAAAGTAAGTAAATTATATTTTATAATTTTTTTTTGTAGTTCCTCTGATTGCATAGATATGCTGATCATAACTTGAGGTAATAGTAGTTCAATATTCAAGTCAACCACAATTACAAGAGTATCCCTTAATAGATTTTTTTTCCAAAGTTTTAGCAATTGGTATTATATATTTCTCTATCTTTAAAAACAAAATTCTATGGTACATGATT